TTTAGTGAAACTAGTATTCCACTGATTTCCGAGTTCCAATAACTCTCACTTTCAAAACGAGGCCGAATATAAGGGCAAAACGTTTCTTGTGAAAATGAGTCTTATCATGAGAAAAAAAAATGTATTTATACAAAAGACTGAAAAAAAAAACAAGCAATACAAAAGTTTGAAAAGACACTTAACAATACCCAGACTACGACACAAAAGCGAAGCAACAATGGTTTCCACAACACTAAGAAGTATCTTTGCTGTTTTAAATATGTCAAAGTTTTTCTGGCTTTTCGTTGGATTAAACTATTTAAGGTAAATTAAGATTGGCAAACAAAATGTCTCTATGACAGATATATATACAATTAGTTTGTTGTTATTGTCTTTGTTGTATTTCCATCCAGATTATATGAACACGACTTGGATATCCTTCAAGATGTCCGACCCACCTCATGTTGCCATAACAATAGCAAACTCCATATTAATTGTCACTTGCATCTTGGGAAACTGTTTCGTTTGTGTCGTATTGCTGAGAAATAGGGACATGAGGTACATAAAAAAATTCTAGAATAATGGATTTACCCTTCAATAACAACAGGAAGCGATTATGATGTCGAGGGCGATGAATAAATTAGGCTTCCGTAAATCCTCTATTAAGTCCCCCCCTTCTCAAATAAGCCCACCCCTCCCCCTCTCTAATAAGCCCTCCTTTTTTAGGGGAAGAAAGTTAATAAGCCCCCTCTCCTCTCCTCCCCCTTATTATTATTAACTGATAAATAATACATCGTATTAATCAATCACGACTGTCAGAAGTGTATTGCGACTGTAAAACTTTGTGTGGACTGATCCAGGATGGTTTATTCACCAACTGGAAGTTGTTTTTGATCCACAGCTGTGTGATCTCCAACTTCTTGTACTTGAGCTTTTCCACTTTGCATTCTTGTTCTTTGTGAAGAATTCACACCATCTTCTATGCTAAATTGAATATAAATATGCCCCCTCTCAAATAAGCCCCCCAGTCTCTATAAAGTCCCCCCCCCCTCTCAAATGTGTCTGAATAAGCTCTCCGGGGGACTTAATAGAGGATTTAAGGTATGTTCACGCTATACAGGACAGCTTTTAGCTATGTTCACACTTCCTACCGACATGAAAAGCGAGCCGTTATAGTATGAGCAGCAACGCAGTAGAACTGGAACAAGTCATTCACACACACTCGAACAGTTAGCCGAGAGGGATTGGTGAGGCTAAATCCTGGTCCTCACTACTGAATAGTTACTTCCGTCTTAGCGGATTCCAGTCCTGGCTCTTATTCGCTCACTGCTGCTACGGTCCGAATATCCTTCACACTACACCAATGTGTGGCATAGAACATATCCGATATATGTCTCTCCACTGTAGAGATCAGCGCGGCGCAGCTACACTACCTTACAGAAATCGTGCCGAAATCATAATTTATTATTTGTGAACAGAAGCCCTCTCCGGTATAGTGTGGAATAGCCTTAGAAATCCCTATGATCTTACAAGATCCGAGGAAGCCGACTTCAGCAGAAACGTCGCTTAAAAAGTGAATTTGCGTTTCTTCAATTTTCATCGACATTATTCCAGCTCACTTACTTTGTTAAATTGGAGAGTTCGCTTGTATTTGACAAGTGAGTGAGCTCTAACAATTGCTATCAAAATTCAAAGAACTAGAATTCAAATTTTAAGCAAAGTTTTCGCCGCCGTAGCCGTCGGATCTCAAGGTCCCTATTCTGAACTTATAACTTAGATGGTCAGAGGTCAGCGAGAAGGAGGGCGGTAATTTTTGAGCTTCGTTAAATTTACAATGAATTTAGCTTATTAAAGCTGTGTTTTCCTCTTTTTTTCTTCTTAATTTTGGAGTAGGAGTGAGTACAAACAAAGATTGTTGTTGTTGTTGTTGTTGATGTTGAACTGTGCACCTAATCCGCAGGATTCCTTTCAACTGTCTACTTGTAAACCTAGCAGCAGCGGATATCTCTTACGCGACATTTGCGGTACCCAATATCATTTTAAGCCACCATGTTTACCATCCTGAGGGTCTTGCTGGCACATTACTGTGCACAACGTTAACAGGTGGGAACTTATCGTGGGTTGGTGGCCGTGCCTCTATGATCACTCTGCTTGTCATCGCCATTGAAAGGTACTTTGCAGTGGTTCATCCTCATGGAAACAAAGGAAAACTAATAAATCGCAAACTCAAGGTTTGTGATATTCAATTATATCGCTCATATTTTTCCCGCGAACGACAGAGTGGGTCACGCTGTAGAAGGCCTAAATGTAATAAACGGTCCTAAATGTAATAAAATTTTGTCCTAAATGTAATAACAATTTGCCCTAAATGTAATAAACTCTTAAGCTGCCAATTACAGTAATTACTCGAATAAGCCCCGCCCTCAAATAAGCGCCGCATTTTGACGTTGTCTCAGGTTTGCATAACTGTCTCGAATTCTCCCAATCCCTCGAGTGTTTATATCTGGCTATTCAAACACAGGAAAAAAGTTCTCTATTGCTTAAATATTGCGTTTTTTAGAAAAATACTGTTACTTTTCCGTTTACAAGCAATATTTATTTGTAAACGTTAAGTTTCACAGTGCATAAGGAAATGTACCAAATTTACGCGAATTAGCGCCGCGGCGCTTATTAACTTTTTTCTCAAAAACGTGGCGCTTAATACCATAGCAATACCGCTCAGTACCGTATTTAGTCGAATAAGCGCCGCGACGCTAATTAACTCCCCCACCCCCTAAATGCGGCGCTTATTTGAGGGCGGGGCTTATTCGAGTAATTACTGTAATTGGCAGCTTAAGAGTTTATTACATTTAGGGCAAATTGTTATTACATTTAGGACTTTATTACATTTAGGACAAAATGTTATTACATTTAGGACTTTATTACATTTAGGACCGTTTATTACATTTAGGCCTTCTACACACGTGACCTGACTTTTCCCGCGTTTGCCATTTGCCGGCTGCCGTTTCAACGCGAGGAGAATATTTTACCCGTTTGGAGAAAACGCGAAAACTTGAGTATTTGCACCGCAATTGTACCGACTATTTCTTCATTTTAGTTTATTTTGGGTCGTAAATTGCGCCCGTTTCGACTTTATGATTAAAATTATGATTACGACGACTGCGACCACAATAATTAATAATGATTTACGATTACTATTACGGTTACGGTTACGATTATGGTGATGATTATGATTACGACTGCGACTACGACAACGAAAAAATGGGAGTCGGAAGAATCAGAACGTTTTCATTTTCTTCTGACTCCGCTTATGACTCAGACGTTTACGATCAAGTGCAGATTGTCGGGGTCGGAAGCAGAAGCGGAAAAATACACAATCACAATGCTCATTCCCACGCTTTGTGATTGGTTTAGCTCTTCCACTCCTATCTGCGACTTCGAATACCTAGTTTTTACTTGATCGTGAGAGACGGAGACTACGCTATATTCGCGAAATATCCCTCCGCCTTTCGGTTGGAGCCTCCTCGTTTAGCCAATTAAATAGAGTACTAGCCTGACTTTCATGCCATTGGAATTGAAGTATTAAGAGAACTAAGAAATTTGACAAATATGGTTAAGACCGGGGTCCGTAATATGTCCGTTCTCAGCGACCGCAGAGCGCTGCCATTAAATTTAAGAAGAAAAATCACACACCACTACCCTGCGAGCAGAGACACGCGGAAGCTCGAACTTCTATACTAGTCAATCTTGTTTTCTTTTGTCAAACTGGTTTTCCGAGTGCGAACTTCAGTTTATTGACGATAAACCGATATTCATAACTGAGCGCGCCGCATCAAGCGCATAGCTATTATAATCATTAGGCCTGGGTTTAAACCTGTATCACAGCAACAAACAGCATCTTGCCCAACACTTAGGATCTTAGTCGATTCATGCCGAGTCTTTCTCGGGTACGCAGGGGTCACACAGCACATTCACTGACACGGCTTCATTAAAACTGATAAGACCGTGCTTACAAGACTAAAACTACATCATGAAACGAAACCCAGCTACAAAATGATCACATATTGTGAGCATAACCGACATTGTGACAGCTAATCAGACCTAACCATTGTACATACTTTTTTTAGGTTGTTATTCCCGGTATTTGGATCATAGCAATTATTTATAGAATACCATCCGCGAAGAGAACTTTTGATGCCACTTCCGACTCATGTGTTTCCTCATTGCCAACGGAGACGAAAAAGGCCACTGGTATTGCTTTTCGTGTTTTGAAGTTTTTTCTCATAGCATTGTTGGTCGTGCTATACTCCAGAGTTGTGTATGCCTTGTGGTTCAAGCCAAGTGATGATGTACTCAAACATCAGCAACGGGTATTAGCCTTGTTATAGCCTGAAAGTACGCTCTCAGTTCTGGAATCGAGCCGAGGCAAAGGGTCTCGCGCGACTGGGCGAGTGGCGGGCGAAGCCTTAATCATTCGATCGTTAGATTTGTTTCTCGCTCGATTTTTAAATGGAGAGCTTTCTTGCAGGCTAGCCTTGTAAAAAGAAGTCAAAAATCATCATCATTCTTTATTGTAAATGTGTCATTAATATTTAGCAACGTATCGAAAAGCAGCTAGAAAAAAAGAATAAACGGAAGATCATTATCACCGCACAAAAATATAATGCTTGTGTCAATGGCAATTCCCCAAGAGCGTCGGCTTTAACTCTACTGAATTCGTACCTAATTCTCTCCTTCTCTTTCATAGTTAGCTTGATAATTCTCTTGCAAGTTTAAAAGTGATCATTAAAAGAAGAATAAATACTGCCAGGAAATTCTTCTCCTCAGTAGGTTTCATTACTATATTGTAATATGGGTCGCACTCCTTAAAGTTAGGGGTCTTTAGGCTAATTTTAAGCGAGATCTAAAGTTCAAAGGACATAAACGTTACTTAAAAGTTGATTTAACTGTGTACATTCTTACAGTGTTGGAGAAGAACAATATTTGGGAGCTTAAGCAGAGAAGTTTTTGAGCAACGCACGTCAACTGGAAGTTTAGTCTTTTCATTCCACTGTGCCTTTACGCGACTAAATTTGTATTTCTTAGCGTCTTACTCATAAAGAGAAGACCTGCCTTAAAATTAGGGGAAAACCACGGCCCGAGAATGCGAATAGTCTCAGTTCCGGTTGACAATTGTCACTCAAAAACGTCTTTGCTCACTGCTCCCTATTGCAAGCTTGGGGTGCCTGTTCTAATGTATCATTGTTTTGTACACAGACTGTACTGAGGTTGCGGAAGAGAGTCACCTTGATGGTTGTCTCTGTCAGCGCCATATTTGTAATTTCTTGGGGAGGAGACACACTATGAAATTAAAACCCATGAAAATCCAGTGAAATTTTTCATGGTAATTTCACATGTTTTTCACAGGTTTTTCAGGAGATTTTGATGGGGAATTTTCATTGGTATTTCATGGGGAACATGCCATGAAAATAAAATGAAAAAAGCGTGAAAAAACCCCTTAAAATTCAACGCTTCATGGCCCATGAAAAAACTTTAACAAACAAAAATCCCATGAAAATGCCATGAAATAGAATGAAACCCGCTAATTTTTTTTCATGGCTTTTTAATGATAATGAAAAAGCCATGAATTAAAAAGCTCTTTTTTCATGGTGTCGGAATTTATGGGTTTTTCATGGGGTTGTTAAATTCATGCCCCATAAAAAAACCATGATTTTTCCGTGAACGGTCGAATATTAATGGGTCATGAAAAAATGAAATGGCTTTTGATGACATTTTCATTACCCATGAATTATGGCCCTCTCTTATTTTTCATGGGAAAGACAAAGACATGGCTACCATGAAAATTTAGTCTTAAACTACTCTCGACTGTTAAATCAAATACATCACTGAGGATTTGTTGGCTGGTTAAATTGAAGCTATATACATGTAGCAACAACCCTAACCCTAAATAAAAGCTAACTGTTTTTCAAGTCAGTGCTTAACCCTAATTACTATTCTCAGGGCTTATTTAAAAAAAATCTACAGTCTGCACAGTCTGCAGTCTGCATTTCAACTTGACTGCACTTTAGTATGGTGTACTACAGTGTAAATAAGGCCATTAATGACAAAAAAAGTGTCATTGCAATACAAAATTCATCTGGAATACATGTACTGTATCTCCTCTCCAGGCTACAATCATGACGTACCAAATTTCACCATTGAAAATGAACAACAAATTTCAAGGGTTCCATCCCACTTAGTTTGGACAAGTTTCAATGAAATAAAAAAAGCTCATTTTCAAGGCCAATACAGATGTTTATTTTAGCTAATAGCAAATGAACAGCTGTACAAGACAAATCATTTAAGTGAAAACTAAAGTTGTTGTGTTACAATAACAAAAAAATGTAAATCTTATCTTTGGTCACTGTTGTTGCCTCAGCCATCAGATCCATCTTGTAAGTACAGTGATACAATGAATATTGAAATGCAGCAACATCTAAACAAAATTAACAGCAGAATCATGTCAAGATTTCATGTAGAACATTTGATCCATCCTTAAATAATAAAACAATGGTTTTGATGACGCAAACCACACAAAAGGATATCATTATTTTTAAAATAACCGATTCATTAATGAAATATATGGATAAGCAGGCTTTGTTAAAGGTCAAGCCGGCTTTTTTGCACTACTGCGTCTCTAAAATTCCCCTATGTCTTTGGTTTGGTTTGCAAATTCAGCTGGTGGTAAGCTCTTTTTCAGCTGGTTGAACTAGCTGGCAGCCAGCTCTTAACCACATCCCTGTTAGCCTGTGTACAGACCACCCCCTCCCCTAAGTAAAAATCAGAGAAGGGGCGTCTGTGATTCACTGTTGCTAATCGTGAATGGGAATAACTTTGCATAAATTAAAAAAATTGTTTCCACTGACCAAAATTTCCATGGCTCATGTTTCATGTCATTCCAGTTCTCAAAATGTCGGTGCATGCGTGTTATTTCCATCGAGTAACTGAGAGAGTGACACATTTCTAAAATAGGATTACTCTATACCGAGCAAGAAAAATGTTCTTACAAGCCCATATTGAAGGAAAAGATCCATGTTCTTATGCAAGCCTTCCCACTGGATACGGGAAGTCATTAGTTTGAAATAAAGTGTTGACAAGTCAGACATGACTCATGAGCTCATGATAGTGTGAAACGTGACCCTAGCATTATTGTTTTGCTTGAGTTTTGATGACAGGCCCTAAAGCCAATCAAAATCCCTCAACTTCATGATGTACACACTGTAATGATCTACAAATAACAGCCAATCAAATCATTTTCCACATATTCCAGGAAAAATCACGTGGCCTCCATACCCGATTACCAATGGTGCATTACAGACGCCCCTTCTCTGATTCTTACTGAGGAGAGGGGGCGCTTGTACACAGGCTACATCCCTGCTTACCCTGGCATGATTGTAAACAATCTGCTTTAATACATACATGTAATTTACTGTTGTCAGGTTTGTTGGAATGAATTTTGAACAGTTCCATCAGCAGAGCCAACCATATATACAGGGTTTGCAAATTTTATTGATGAGTGGAGTCACTGTGACTTCTGCTTCACAAATTTTGGAGTCATTTTGGAATATTTGGAGTCAAGTATCACAACGAAAAAAGCCATTTTCAGACTTTCCAGCACGTGGTCCTAGCATGTATACACTATCGTTATGGATACACAAAGTAGCTGTGGCGGTCCGCTGACCTGGAAAGCTCAAATCCATGATGGCGGTCATCGAGTAAACTTTGATCGTAATTTACCCTCTTCCTGTTTTGTCGTGCAGTATAATTCTTTAATTTTGATGATTTAATTAAGGTTTACAACGTTAACAATTAACGTAAATTGTATTTGTTGCAAAAAAGGTAACGATAAAACTGTGTTTGTTACCGAAAATTTCTGGAGTCGAAGTGGCTCCCTGTTTGTTACCGAAAATTTCTGGAGTCGAAGTGACCTCTGTGGAGTCAGCTGAACAATTTTGGCGTAAAATACGCCAAATTTGGTGTATTTGCGAACCCTGATATATAGCATACTGTAGTTCAACTTTTCTACCCTAGCTAAGCCAGATACAGTAGTGTAGACAAAGATTGAAACTTCTTCCCTATTAAAAGAATCCCCTACTTTGAAGGAAAATAATATGCTCTAGTGCTTAATGATCAGAACAACGGAGTAATGGATCAGTCAATTCCAGCTGCGCCCAGCGCCCCCCCAGGCTACTGCAGGGCATTTGCCCGCCTTGTCAGTCCCGGGGCTGGGGCATTTGCAAATTTTTGTGCTGCCCGGGGGCCGGGCATTTGCCAACCCCTCAGCCATTCCCGAGCTTTTGACACACACGTTGTTTCCTATCAGAATATAACTACACAAAGGATTTCACTGGGAAAGAAAACAGATTGGCTCAAAGGCCATGTAAAGGCATGTTCTTGATTTTATGCATGCATGCATTTCTTCATTGCTTATCAAGCCAGAATTACATAGCGAAATCTGGAGCTATCAAAGTGAATAAGAGTTTTTGGTCATTAAATCAAATTTCTGTTGATATTATTTGAAAAGCATCCTTTCATATTTATAAAACTATTCATAACATAAATTATAACTCTGGTCGCAGCTGGAATTGACTCATGCATAACAATTTCAAGGTTAGAATAGTGAGACTTTTGTGTCAAGCAAGACTTTCATTTTGGTCACATGCACATCCGGTGTCTAAACAATTTACTTCTTTCATTTCTGTTCTGATCAAGGTCATGACCCTTGTATGGCTTTCCCCGAGTGAATCCGTTCGTCGAAGAAACTGATTTGTCGCTTGAAAAAAGGATCGTCATGTCCATCAAACATCATTTCGGTAAAAATAAACTTAACAAAGACCATGCACAGCCTCTGTCACATTGTGTTCCTCAAAGCTTATATTTCCTACATCATGATCAACTTGAACTGTAATCGCGGCTCTGTCTGACTGTGCCCCAGCACACAACGACGAAACTTTGATTATTTCGCTTTAGTAGCAAGTAATCTACAATAAACAAGCACTACTTAAGAATGATTAAAAACAAAACTCACCTAAAATCGTTTACCGAATCCAGCCGATGATCTCATATCAGCGGTGCGAAGTTTTCGTTACATGTTACACAAAAAAGCGATCGATTATGGTTCCTCACAGTCGCGCAACAAGTGACGTTTCTTAAACGTTTGCGTTAAAGGTTAAAACATGTTTTGAATCCGAAGATTCTTCCTAAACTTACAATCAGAGCGAACAAAACCCAACACTAGCGAAGCCGTTAGTTTCAATTTGAACCGCCCTCAAACCGGTTTGCCTTGCGACCGCGCCTCTAATTCGAGCATCACTGCTGACCATTTTACAGCGTGAGCGCCAAAAACCAATCGAACTTTGATCGAGTAATCAACAGTCATCATTTTCAACTTCAAGGCGAGTTTTTAGGGAATTTACAGTGCTGTGATAGTTTTACAAGGAAAAAGATCGTCACCTACATCAAAGCGGAAGATGGACCAGTCTTTACAGTGTACAGTGAGGTACGATATGTAGCGAAGCATTGTAACAGATTAAAGCTAACAAGATACTCATACACTGCACGTGTAATATTTCCGTACAGCAATATTCAGATCATATTTTACGCATTTAAGCTTACATGTAAGCTTAAGTCTTATGTTTCGATTCCCTTCACATCAACTGTTTGTGTAAAATAGTATGAAAATGGCTCCTGCAAGCATAATGTATGAGTGGGGCCGTACGGAAATCCTAATAATTAGGATTTAGGATTTGATAATTTATCAAACTGGACCCTTCAGCGGCAAAGCTAGAAACAATTCTCCACAAGGTACGGTTTTACGTTTTATTCTTGTGTTTATTCTTGTGCTTCTGTTAAGGCCATCCTCACCAACCTATAATCTCTTTTGGTTATGCTTGCATCGCCAAAACTGCACTTGCATGTTCATTTTACACACTGTATACAATGTAATTCCTATGATTTAGTTCTGTTCTGGTTGATAAATATACAGCTTCATTTGAGAGTGGCTTATAAAATGGTTTGGCTCGTGGTAATGAAGATGAGTGGACTGCTTTGATAGGTGCCAGTACTACATGTAAAAGAGACATTGATCACAACATTTCAACATGACATTAGTCCGTTGCAATGTATTATTGATATCAAAATTTAACTCTTCAATTTTTTTTATTTACTTGACTATTTTGTACAGCGATGACCACAATTTATATATCAACAAGCAACGAGTTTATTTAGTCACAATTTATACAAAAGCACTAGCACTGGCTCATATATACAACTGTCCATGTGTTGACCTTTTCCCTTTTCTTTTGCAAAGGTTAGGATTAATGATTTTTTATTACTAATCATTAGTCTAACAGACCTTCATGTCCTCTAATTCAGTCAGTATTCATACAGTGTTGTACAGCTGTACTCGTGATTAAACAAATTGGACTCCTGCTACACAGTTTTCTGATTTTGTTAAACACTTGTACATGTATGATTGCAGACTAAATTGGACTCCACTCAGTCTTACTGAAATAGTGAACCTACGTCTTATTTGCAGAACCTCTAATTTAGAGCAAATTTTCAGTTGCTAATTGTGATATTAATCATTCTGTGACAGGTTCAGTTTTCAAACAGAAGGAAAATTTACTACCAAGGTTCAAGCAGTGCTATGGGAGGCAACAAATGCAGCTAAGAATTTACACATTTTAGCATGTAAACTGGATTTACTTAAACCTTCAACACTGCATTGTATATATATATATATACTTTTTTTCATAAATGTCTTGCTAGCCTCCTAAGTGTATGTTTACAACAAGTACATGACTGTATTTCTACTTGTTAAAATGGATTGAAAATTCAGGGTACTACCATAAACTATTAATAATGTTCAAAATGTACAATAGTCACAGTTGTTGCTAAATTTTGGTTACCTTTTTTCAATAAAATAGCATTGTTGGCCTTTGAAGATGCCTCTTTATTGAAACATTATTTGTAACTGTACTTCTGTACTTTAGAAATGTAGCATGCACTTTTCAACCCAGGCCAGCTCTTGCCTCTTGACTTGATAGCTTTAACATTATCATGAAAGCCAGGAAAAGTCTTGTTTACATTTTGTGCTGTGTGTAATACATAAAACGGCCTGAACACTGTATTTTTAATCAAGTAAGTTACACTTAAATCATCCAAATCATTTTCAACAAGAATTGATTACGTTACATAATTTGCAGAGTGTTAAAGATTTATCAGAAGAATTTAGTTTTTATACTGGTGATTCAGTTTAACAAATAGAAAGTAGATGATGATCTGACCCGTGATCTTATCTCGATTCAAGACTATTTTATGGATATTCCTTTTTTGATACAAGACCACACTCTGCCTCATTAAGGGTACTTCAGTAGAACATTTGAAAAAGCATTCTACACAGCAAGTAAAGGTTGGTTCATTCCAAGTTGTAATATTTAACTCCTTTGTTTTCTCTTGAGCAGATGAAACCATTTTATAATCGAACCATGCAGTAGATAGCGTATACCTCTACATGCATGGATAGAATTTCGCTGGTATTTTTTATATACAGTGTATTCAGATGTTTTTATAATAAGTATACACATCTGAATGGTATTGTACATTGCATGTTTAATTCATGTTGAGTAGCACATACATGTACAGTACAGTCAACTTTCTTTAAAGAGGTACTTGGCGCCTGTTCATACATGTGTCTGTCTTTTCTCTAACTATTGATACAATAGACAAAAACTTAAGATGTTGTGCTAGCTGGTCTCAGAGTGGATCTGTCTTGTTGAAAGTTGACTGTTAATAGTGCAGCCCAAAGTACTAGTTTCGTTAGGGTATAGCTAATTCTAGTACTTCAAAAAACGTACTATTTCATTTATTGAATACATGTACATTTTGTAAATATTATGGAATGCAGTGTTCTTGCTGCAAAGTTGTTAAATATTTATTCAAGGCATTAATTCACAGTGGCACTGCTTTCCTCATCAGCATTTTCATGGGAAATTAATGAGCCATGAAATCATTCATACATTTTTCATGACTCACAAATCAAATTCAGTATTTATTTCATGGCCCATTAAACGTTTTTCATGGCTCCATCATTGAACTTTCTTGGTATGTTTCCATAATGTGGTGTTTCATTGGAAATTCATGACCCATGAAAGTAGTCCAGTTTAATTCATGGGCCATGAAACAACTTGAACTTTTTTTCCACGAAAATTTCATGGCCACAGATGAGGTCATGAAAAATTATTTTGCAAGATTCATTGGCCATGAAATGATGTTCATGGTATTTTCAAGTGATTTTCATGGGATTTTCACAAATCTCAGTTTCATAGTGACACTTTGCTGCACATTTTGGAGGATCGCTCCTTTAAGTTGAGTCCTTTAGCAATTCCTATCGCGCACGTAGTGATTATGTTCAACGCTGCTGTCAACCCTTTTGCTTACGCTTTGATAAACGAAAGATTCAGGCAGAAGATGAAAGAAATGATGTGCAGTGGTTCGCGTTCGTTGGCAACAAAGCATTTCGTTACTTCCGCGCGTGCGCTACATGAAATTCAGAGAGCAAGCGTACCCGCGGTGACGCTGGAAGAGCAGATGAGTAAAGGTGATGTTACACGAGACGATTCGCAACAGCGATTTTAAGCGCAACACAGGGTTGCAACATCGTTACGACCTGACATTGATTGGAATAGTTGCAACATTGTTCCAACATTGCAACGCGGTGAAGCGCCAAAAATCGTCGTTACGAATCGTACCGTGGAACATCACCTTAAAAGGTTTTAAACAATTTCCTGGAATTAAGAGCACCCGAAGTTATTGGATTTGCTGTTGAATTTCACCTCCCTTTTGTAATTTATTCATTCTTCAATATTTTCCACATACTGGGCTTTTCCCTTGGAATCTGGAAGGGGCCAGCTGCGCCTTGCACAGGTTAAGTTTTGATTTAAGATAGAGGGAGAAACCTTTCATGAAAAAAATCATGAGGTAAACATTTCTTGGTCAACGTCTTTGAAAGCGTTTAAATTTGAGCAGTTTATGAGACGATTGAGCTAAAAATTTACACTCATTAACAGATTGATTGAAAATTGCCAGCATTGTCTTCTATTTAAGTACAACCACAGCAACAACAACAAGGTATTAAGGTATTTCCATTTACATACATGGCATTACCTACTCTTTAAAAACAGGGGCAACCAAAGAGAGTATAGTTGAAAACCACTTAAACATAGCATTGTTGAACGTATTTTAGTATTTAAACGGTAGATATAGGCATATTTTTATCCCCTATAAATTTTTCATCTGTTCGGACTTCTTAGCTGACAGTCCGGTGATCCGAAAATGATAGGGATCAAAAGCTACCTTTTCGAAAATTTCAGCTAGAAAAAGGGCTCCCTAAAATTCTAGGTGACCTTTTTAGGGTAAAAATCCGTTAAAAATGGGCAATTATACAATTTTTTAGATGTTCGAAAATCCTAGGAGAGGCAGGCAAGCAAGAAATTTTACGACAAATGCGCCAAAAGTTCTAGATCTCAAATCGTTTTCCGAACAGATATTTTCCAAAAATTGACGTTGGGTGCCCCTCTAAAAAGTAATTTTAAAATTAATTGGTTAATTCACTTTTAAAATTACATGATAGCTAGTGTCTACAATTCAGTCATAACCTCAAAAACAAAAGCAGCAACTGATTTAAAAATAAATGGATCAATATTGTTAAATAGGAAAAAAATTCTTGATTTTACATCTAAATCGTTAAAAAGGTTATATTTGTTAATGATTTTATCAAAAAAATTGTTGCGAAGCGTATCATACAGAGTGCAAATAAAGTGTTTTCACAGGTGGTCACTGGGGCCAATGGAGTCCCCAACCAATGAAACGGCTGCTATGTTCTTGTTCCAAACAAAATCCAGTGGGAGCTAAACTCTTTTTTTATGCAAACGATTTATTTACGCTCTATTGATGCCCTTTACACTCGAGCTGTTATGTTTATGACCTCATTTATACAGTATACAGCTTTTTCGAGAAAAAGGTTGTCGGAAATAGTGCACCCGACAATCCCGAAAGGCATTGTGGGTGGTTTTGAGTTCACTGTTCTTCAGAGAAATTTGAAAGAACTGGCACGAAAGGCCATGAAAATGTGTTTGCAAGTGCTAACGGAAAGCAACAAAAGTAGGTTCGACCGCTACAGTCGTCAGAAACAGTGTATCGATCATATCCCATATTACCTTTCGGGATTGTCGTGTGCACATTTTCTCCGACAACCTTTCTCGAAACAGCTGCATGTAACTCATTTAATTCTGCGCGCTCTATGATTTGTTGTTGCCTAATGTATAGAGTTAGCCAGGGACAAAAGCAACATGTTAAGCTATTGTTTTAGGGCTCCGCTATTTGATTCAATTCACTGTTACACGGCGATTATTGGAGAATGAACCAGTCGATAGGGGAACAAGTCAACGACGGAAAAGCAACAGCGACAGGTTAAAAATACAGAGAAATTAAGGAATAGAGGGAGAATAGCAGCGCTTCCTGCTTAAAAGTTACAGTGGAGCCTCGATGAAAACAAGTCCTCTGTATAACGAACAATAGGCTTCGCTCCATAAAATATATGGAAAAGACGTCGATATAACGAAAATATTCAGTTTATATGTCTTGCCAGTTCCCCTTTCTATCGAGATTCCACCGTAATAGTGCTGAAAAAAGATTTTTATCTAAATTAACCGTAACTTTCAGGAGAATAGAATAAAATAGCCATTTCTTGCTAATAGACGATCGAAGCAGTGTGTGTTAATTTTTATAATTTTTTTTTTTTGCTGATGACCTTGTTTTGCACGTCACCAAATTGGTTTTTGTCCTCTATTTTAGGTTTGGATAAACGTGCAGCGAACTATTTTTACTTGATCAGAATTGATATCTCATACTTCTCCCGAGTCAGAGTTACACTGCGGTTTGCCTTTAACATGTTTAACTCTGTTCGCTCGGAATGTTAAGAAATTCCAAAGCAAATGAACAAACTCAAACAAAGTCAATAAACTACAGCCTAACAAGAGACCCATGTTTCCACCAATGTCACCTGAAACAAAAATATATATTAAAATATTTTACAGTAAGATGGGAACTTCAAAAATTGATCAACAAAGTTTTGAAGAAAGATTCTTTCCCTTCCCTCATTGCACCCACAAAGAATAGTCTCGATAAGAAGCTTCAGCACACCACAATTCAACAGCTTGCACACTGTGCCTCAAATCGGTCGACGTTTCCACATAATCATACTTGCGTGACTTAATTAATTCTCACATTCTTCTCAAATTTATAATAACTGCAGTTCACTTTGATTTTTATTGAAGCGGTCCTTTTATTGGCTATTTTAAAGTCTCAGTACATATTCAAATTTTTATTTTATAGTCCATTTACGCAGGACATCTGTTTATATCGGCCTAAGCGAGAAACAAAAAAGAACATTTTTGCTATACAAGAAGCTTTAATGTTCCTCAAACGGTGGTTTAAAAATTATCCAAAACCAGTAAATGTTTAGGTCGGTGTGTTTCACATACTGGACGTAAGCGACCTCTGCTATATGATATAAATAGAAAAACCAAGGTTGAACACTTACACATTATAAATGAATTACTAACCTAGTAAGCTGCTCACTTCGTAACTTGGTTTTTCTGTTTGTAACATGTATCCTTGAACTTGAAAGCCGACTTGAAGAAAAACTAAATTTCTCCTGAAAGCAGATTTGCACGGATGTGTCACAATGATATATACGTAAATTTTTTCGAGCAAGCATTGGTAAATGAGAATAACCCGAAAAGAGCTGCTGCAATGACGAAAAATAAAGCAGGAAAAAATTGTTTAATTTTACCTCTGATATTCCATGGTTTGATTATAAGCAAATAGGTGTTTAAATATCTTTCCAACGCCATCATCCGGGAACTCAGAGTAAGAAATTTGACTTGTGTATTCAATTTCCTCACATGCCGCTTCACAGTAACAAGTGAAAGGATTCTTTGACTCTAAAAGAACACAAGTAATCAACATATAGAATAAAGAAAAACTTCCATCAAAAAGTAGCACTACGTCACAGTTTTGAATACAACTTCATTCGCGCTTAAAGAAAGGCAAATTTTCGCTAGCAAACTGGTGGGTCTACAAACTTGTTGGTTCCGACAACCTGCTAAAGTAAGAATTCTTTACCGATGCGAGTGCTTTTGAACTTATTGAACGCCAAAACATTTACAACAGCGCTCGAAATCCTGTTGTTTGTATATACAATCAAAATATGTAGCGTGTAAATTGCCTCTAACAACTGCGAAAGTTACAGCAGTTATTGCTGTTGTTTAAGAGTGACATTAGGTCTTTTTTCCTAATGTTCTTTTTAAAAGATTCAGTATTCGAGGATCCTTTCAAACTATTATCTAGTTTCGACCATATATGAGGTCCTTGATATCTTAGAGAATGTTTTCCATAGTTAATAGTGTTAAAGGTAGGGATATCAAAATCACTTTGCACGTGCATCACATTTTTTTGTACCTTTCTCTTTGCCGTTTTAGCACGACTACGACGTGAAAATGCCTAGTTTCATGTTTTATGGAGGACGTAAACAAGCAACGACAAAATTTTCTTTCTATTTCTTAACCTGGATAAGGCTCTTAAAAATTCAACTCCAGGAGAGTTCGCGTACATTCGACAAAGTAAGCGAGATGGAATAATCGCGATGAAGATTGAAAAGCCGCAAATTCAATTTTTAAGCGACGTTTTACATGCCGTCGCCGTCCTGGCGTCTTAAGGTCCCTAATTTAATGTTTTTTTTTCCCTAAGGGCCAAATCACGGATATCTTAAGTTAGTTGGATGTTTTATATACTCTTATATTCTCTCTTATTTCCAACTTCATTGTATTAACTTAATTGGTGTGACAACTGACAAGAACGAAAACTCAATTTTTATCTCTTAGATTTCTTTCTTTCTTTGAAATCGAAGTGAATAAGTGATATTTGCCGAGCCGCGCAGTGGCGGTGAATACTGGTGAATATGGGGCGATCCCGCACGTATTTGACAGGCTGTTTGTGATTAGCTGGAAAAACAATAGGGATTGTCACATAACAATGCCCCTATCCCTGAAAGCAATGGAAGTGCAGATTAAAGGGGGCCTATGAAATAAGAGGTTTAGAACGGTGCAGGTCTACTGTGAATATGACGTTTTATAAAATAACTAAAACAGTGTGTGCGTTCTGATTGGTTCTGAATGGACAATCGATTTTGACGGATTTAGAAGATGGATTATCCGTCTCAGACGTATAACCCTCCTCTAGTGTGAAAACGGCCAAAGTGTATTATTCAGAGCGGTACTTCAATTAAAATTCTTACCTTCACTCTGTTCCACACAGTATTGATGTTGAAATGTGCAGATAGGCAAATCTAAAGGAACTGTGGAAGAAAAAGTTTTTTCTTTAGTGTAAAACCATTTCCAACCTTCCTCTTTTCCCAAAATTAACAAATCGACAACAATTTTCCATGGTCTGGATACTGTTATCGATCATGGAAATGACGTCAAAATGTTTGAGTTTTGAACTGACGACATTTCTGTGGTCGATAACAGTAAAGACCGTGGAAAATTGTTGTCGATTTGTTTTTTTTGTTTTTTTTTACAATAACTTTGACAGATTAATTTGACGTCCAATTCCGTTGAAGTTTCTCGGAAAATTGCGCGCGCGAGAGAGAGAAAAACAAATTGCGCCTTCATCACGTTGTTTCCATGGTCTGTACTCTTATCAACCATAGCTCTTGACCAATCCGCGCGCGAGAAATTACTCAATTATTGTATTAAACAGACATATCCTGAGCCGGTTATAATGTATGGTTTAGGCCTTGAATGAAATCTTATGTGTTGCTCCTTGAGATTATTTTTTTTCCTTACCAAAAGATCCTTATGCCTATAGGCTACACCCTAAAACAAGCTCCTTAAGATTCAAGGGTAGAGGGTAGTTCACTGAAGTACTTTTACTGAAAGGTATTCCAAGCCTTTATCTGAGTGATTTACACCATGGAATCTGACTATTCAAATCATGCAACCTAGTGACAAGTTCTTTATTATGCTGTAAAAAGTGGTTCTCATTGTATACATGGAAGAAATTCCTAAAATGTCGCTAAATAAATTGAAGCCTACACTTCTCTGCATTTCCTTTGATTATAGTCTACCACGTTTAGCTTTTGAGTCTGCGTGTGTGGATGTGAACATTCAAATGAACGTTACCGCGCCGCAAATAACTGATTCCTGTTATACAACCGTTTCTATACTTTGCAACTGATGACTTAAACTGTCGAGTTTGTGCACGTGTACATTCAAACTTGAGCTGGTCAAGCGGGAATAGGTGAAAACTGTAAGTACTGACGTAGCCTGTTCCAGGCTCCGAGATAGTCTGGTCCGCTGAATTGAGAAAGCACAAACACGAAAATAAAACGGGAGGAAACTGGGGCGAACCTTTTCTTTCGCATCTTCCCCACTATCTGAGAGCCTGGAAAAGGCTAGTACTCACGTGGTATCCCGATCATTCGGCATCCACACATTTCTGCGGTCATGTTTGCAAGGCACTGGTGGAAGCAGCCGTCCCTTGTGTAACGTGGAATTTTAGGAAGAACGCGTTGCGTGCAGTTAGACTTGTACGGTGAAGGAAGACGTTGATACTAGAATAAACATTAAAACATCAACATTAAAAGATTGATCGCAAACTAGCAGTATTGCAAAGACTCCAAATAAACGTTTCTTGTCTTGTCATATCAAAATCAAGTGATCTGGAGCAAAAAGGGAATTGCAGTGGGTCCTACGGCTTCGCAGTACGCTTCTTGAATAGCCCTTTTTCTAAAGAAAAGACCCCAAACACCTTTTTAATAACTTGGTGTTTTCTCACCAGAGGGGACGAAGAACTCAATACTTTGAACAATTCTTCTTCTTCCCTCCTTCCTTCTTTCCGTTTTTCCTTCCGTTGTTTGTTTCTTTCTGCCCAACGATTAAGCATGAAAACTCCATCAAGGGAAGACAGCAACCTCGCTCCCAAGTTCTCTCTTCTACTCGTCGCTCCGTAGGGACGGGAAGGAGACAACCCTGGAAACGAGGTGGGAAAGACAGTTGTTGGTTTTTGTCCGACCGTAGATAGAGTCTGGAACTGTGGGAATTTGTACGACAGCGACTGAGAAGCTCTTTTTTCAATGATGCTGTTTATCATTTCCTGTTACAAAACCGTCAAGCAATTTGCGTTTTGAGTCTAAAAAAAAACTTAAAATAACGGTCAAAGGGTTTTGACGATTTGATAAATATTACCTTTGTAGCGGTCACGCGTACCAAAGTGTGCGAGCCAGGATAGACATTGAATCCTTTGTCTATGTTGATAAACGTATTTTGATCATGAACCATAATTCTTAGCCCACGTGAAAATTCACTGATTGTGTTGTCATTTGCTTGAACGTCCATCATGACGCTAAGGCCTCCAGAAGATCCCGCTCTCAATGTTCCACGAATACCGGTTTGGTTTTTACCCGAGTTAAATGTGAAGCAACGACCGTTACTGGAGAGCGAAGGATAAAAGTCTTCTGCAGTACAGTTTTCCTTGCCCTTAAAGCGACAATAATGGAGAAACATATCTCTAAAATCATGTCCGTAGGCTTTGAAAAATTCTTCAAGATTAAAAACAGGTTCCTCTGTTTCATTTAAAGCGCTGATTATACGCTGCCTTATGGTGTCGTTGCAGTTGTCCACAATTTCCGATCCATAGAACTCGTACGCGCACAGTAATCCTTGTCCACAACTCATGTCTTTATTAACCATCTTTATCTTTTCACACGCCGAAAGATTCAAACCGAGTTGGTAGAAGTCTTCATCGTTTTCAAACATGTCGATTTTCGATTTAACAAATCGATTCAAGTTGCAAATGGTAACAGCAGGAAATTTTATTTCTCCAAGCTCAGGTACAACCTTTTCGAAGTTAGTAGCTACTGGGTTCGATAAATATTTGGCTACACTTCGTCGCACCAAAAATACGTAAGAAGCGGTAGCTCCTAAAAGCAAGAGAAGCCATATCACGCGACAAAATCGGGAAGAACTTTCAAATACATGGCGAAAACCATGAACAGTCGTATTTCCCACGAATTCACGCCAAATTGTAGGCATGATGTCCGGCAAATATCGTCGCTGTTTTTAAACTTTTAAACTGTCTTTAAGTTAAGGTATCACGATCTTACCCCAATTCTTTAAAATAAATTTTCCATCATAACTAGGAAAAGGTTAATACGATTTGGTACTTCCTTCCACAATGAATAATTAATAAAAGCACACAGCAGAGACAATGAATTATTTAGGGCCGGATTAAAGCTATCAGCTATCAGGAATTGTCTTTTCAGGTGTAACAGCAAGAAAAATTTTCATTTTGATAGATTTCTTTGTCCCAAAAAGCAGCATTTGTTTCAAGTCGTTCAAAAACGATGTCGCTATTTTTACAGGTATTTGTAGCAAAAAGTAAGTCGATTCACAAAAATTAAAGTGAATGTGTAATCATTAAAGTTTGCACTATAGGAGTAAGCCAAATTCAATAGTTATAAGTAGACATGCTTAAAACTTCCAGTTTTATTGACAGTTCAGCAATGAATGCAAACGTTGTCGTCTTCAAATGAGACAAGAAACCAAGGGTGCAGCTAATTGTACGCACGTACGTACGTGGAAAAATGTCGAAGATCAATAAAGGCCGAAAAAAAACAAAACAAAATAAATGTCAAGAGAGGGAAAACAATTAATGGAAGGGGAGTTCCTGGTGATAGATGCGATAACTGAGGAATATAAGTCGTCTTAGCAGCGATACTTGATTCTACAATAAGGCCAAGTTGATTGGTGAACTATGCTTTACTAAAACCTGGACTGGTTGAGACAGAAACGTTTTTTCTTTTTGGCGTGCCAAGAACGAGGCCATTTACAAAATGTTTACTACCTCGGTTATCAGTTTCCTCGGAATGGCTATTCTAATTGGTATCTATTAAGATTTTTATGTATTCATTATTTCAAAGCTACTTTTAGTAGATTTACTTAAAAAGGTTTCGTTATATGGATGTCGTTATACCCTGGCTTATAGGTCTGTTCACAGGATAAACACTTGATGGAAAGTTTAACCAAAAAAAAAAACCCCCTTTACTTGATAGGAATTGTCCAAGCTAAAATAAATAGGGGGCAAAGTCCACTTTTTGTTTTCCATTTTCTGCTTCGCCTTCTAATTTCCCGTCTTCTTACTTTTTGCGCCAGCGTTTAGTCAACTATTTTCAGTCAATGCGTTATCAGGAATGGTATTTCATCACATTCACAGTGTTCCCGAGTCAGAGTTACACTGTGGTTTGCCTTTAACATGTTTAACTCTGTTTGCTCGGAATGTTAAGAAATTCCAAAGCAAATCTACAAACTCAAACAAAGTCAATAAACTGCAGCCCAAGAAGAGACCCATGTTTCCACCAATGTCACCTGAAACAGAGCAAAAAAAAAGTGATTTAAAATGAGTCGGTATCGAACAGTGATCCTTTCTCATCCCTTCCACCCGTACGGACTAATATAATCTATAAGCTTTGCTGGAACACCATGCACAACAGCTTGGCGAATCAAGGACTTAATGTCAGTCCTATCCGCAAAAAAAAAACAGTGAAACCAATATCACGCCACCAGGTTGGACGGTCACTACTCTTTATGAATAGCATGGTGTATTGTTTACTTCGCCTTTTCTACTTGATAGGGAAGTAAAGTAGACAAGGGTCAACTGCTGAAAGTCCCCTCCTAGGAACAGACCCTAACCCTAACCCTAACCCCTAACCCCTAACCCCTATCCTATCCTGACCCTGTCGGTAATAGTCCTTTCTCGAATTAAAAAATTTCCCCTGAATAACAACATTAACGATACATTCATACAGGGTTAGCCTCGACAAAAAGGAAAACATGCACGAATTCCGGCAAGAAGTGTCTGAAATTTGAAAATACACAATAGATAGAGTAATAAACAGGTCTTCTTCTTGCTGGAATTTGTGAATATATTTACTTCAGATGGAGGCTAACCTTGTAGAATTGTGTCTTCACCTCTTTTATTCAGCTGTCATAGCGAAAACGAAACTGGACTATTTGATGATCTTATTTCGCTGTACCATCAGCGTTAAACCCGTCACTTTAATTCGTATAAGTTACTAACCTAGTAAGCTGTCCATTTTGTAACTTGGTTTTTCGGTTTGTAAAAAGAATCCTTGATGTTGGAAGCCGACTTGAAGAAAAACTAAATTTCTCCTGAAAGCAGAATTAGTCATAGATTCAAGCATAATTTTTACTATGCGATAAGTAAGTCAAATGAAACGACTTGTGAGAACAACAGTTCAAAATAGCCCTAAAAGATCTGGGATAACTAAGAAAAGAAAAGTTCGCAAAGGAAAATTGGCTTCACCTCTGATATTCCATACTTCGGTTATAAGCGAATAAGTGTTTTAATATCTTGCTGACGCCATCATCCGGGAATTCGGAGTAAGACACCTGACTTGTGTATTCAGTCTCCTCGCATGCCGTCTTACAGTTACAAGTGAATGGATTCTGTGACCCTGAAAAAACAAAAGAGAAAACCTACACTACTGCTGTAGTGGGATTTGTTCCACTGAGCATTTTTCTTTCTTTATAGTATTTCCTTCTCTCTCGTTCTTTCTTCCTTCCTTTCTTCCTCTCAATTTTTCCTTCCACCTATCTTTCATTTATAAGGAGCTTAAGCAACAACGACGGCGACAGATACGAAAACGTCACTTAACAGTAAAGTGGCGCAGGTTCAAACTTTATCGCGCTTATTCCATCTTGTTCAATTCTTCAAATGGCAGCAAATTTTTATGGAGTTGAATTCTAAAAAACTGTATCGATTTTTACAGAGGTTTTAGACTACGAGTAGTTTTCTCTCTCCCCGCCGCGTGTCGCCTTTTCTCGCGTCGGGTGATTTTCACGCGCGCTCGCGTTTCGCACGCTCTACTATCTCTGAGGAACAATGGGGGACTACTCGTAGTCTACAGAGGTTTCAATAAAAGCCGGTCACTGGCGGTCTGTACCGTCGCCTGTTATGCCTCTCACCGAGACCTGTTCAAATTGTAATAGGACTATAGGCCATTTTACAGTTATGGTGGAGGTGAGGTTGACGGTGACCTTGTTTTGATACAAACCTTCATGCTTTATTATGTAAATCAAGTTATTCTCATGCTAACTAGTAGTTTCCAAGAACAATTTCCATAACAAAGCAAAGAAGGTTTGTATCAAAACAAGGTCAACCTCAGCCTCACATTCACTCGAAGGCTAGGGTACTAAGTCCACAACTGTAAAATGGTCTATTGCACGATGGCGGTTTTGGCGGTTTTTCATTTCGGTTTTGCTTTGTTATTTAAATTTGTCAATCCCGCTGAGGATTAAAGAACAATAACCTTAATTTGCACAAGAAAACAACAAACTCAAGGATTCTGGTAGTTCAAGTAAAAAAAATGACGTCATCGTGCAATTGTCCTATTGTGAGGTCTAAGATGAATATTAGTGTATTTAGGAGATTTGTTCACAACTTTATTTGACAGGAACCGGTCTTTGTCAACCGGTAGGAAAAAGGATATTATTTGTTTGGATTGATTACAGGTAAGACTCACCACTACAGCGGATATTAACTGTCATCGAGAGATCGAGAGAAGTATTTAGAGTGCACCTTAATGAATCTAAAACAGTATTAGGTTATTCAAAAAATGTCGCGTTCAGTGGTAAATAAAAATTATTATAAACAGCACTCTTTTTGATACCCAGAATGCTGAAAATTGCATTTCCGAGCTTCTAGATTTCAAAATTTTACTGGAGAGGCTGTGGGTTTGATCCGTGGGTTGGTGTGCGTGTGTCAGTGGCTCTTGAATATGTCTCTATAAAAAGGCAACGCACTTCACTTTTACAGACCAAATACTTCAATGTTTCCTTCCATTTAGACAAATCTTTACTCCCCGTTTGCTTTGATACCGCAATCGCACTTCCTATCATCTTATTAGTCATCGACAAGCAAGAATGAGGAAAACCAAGAGAAAAACCGAATATAGTTTATCCGAATGATCACATGATTTTAGTCACGTCCCATATTTAGAATGGCAGACTTAAATTTACCTTCAGTCTGTTCCACGCAGTACTGCTGTTGGAATGTGCAGACAGGCAGATCTAAAGGAACTGTGAAAGGAAAAGTTGTTCTTAGACTAAAACCATTTCCAACCTTCCTTTTTTCCCCAAATATTAACAAATCGACAACAATTAGTTTACATTTATTAGTTTAGTTTTACCATCATTTTCAATCCCTTTTTCCCTAAAACAAAAATGTTTAAATCCATTGAGTTACTTACGAGTTAAAAACCCCTTCGTACCTTTAATTGCTGGAGGGGTGGCCATGGCTAACAGATTCTTACGCCCTATGCTTAGCCCAAAATAAGGTCACTAAAATATAAGTCACAAAAGGGAAGTATTTATAAAAGAAGCACTTCAACATTCACTCTAAAGCCAATGAAATCCTAAATCTACTAAGCTGCCGTTTCCTATGGTAATGTCTATAGAGCTTTACAAAGAGGTTAATTCTAGCTTTGACTGTGGAGAACATCTGAAAAAGTAGCCAAATGGATCAAAAACCTACTACTTTCCTGAGGTAATTTTATGCTGAGCAAGATGACCCTGCATGAGTTTCTGTTGGAGACTGACTTTCTTGAGGCAACACAATTACTAGTGAGCTAGTTTTTTTTTTCTTTTCTTTTCTTTTTGTTTAGTTTTGTTTTTATTTTTTATTGCAACCCATAAGGTTAAATATCCCAACCTGCTGAAGGCACACCTGAGTTGGCTATTTTCAAGTGTGACCGAGAGGTCGAAGACGTTGAACTCGGGAATACCGATAACAAATCCAGCCAGGGGTTAGGACAGGGATTGAACTCAGGATCTACGGATTAGTTCCAGCTCGTTAACCGCTCGGCAATACCATAGTTAGAAGCCAGTAAACATCAAAACTGGAAACAATGGTGCTGTAGTTTATGTTGGAAGCTTCCTGACCGTGCACAGTCTTTTGTTTTTTGTTCACAAATTGTGACTGAATAAATTACTGCGATGTTGCCATTAGTCAGTAAGTTGACAATGATAGGAATGTCATTGGACGTTGTGCACGGTCAGGTCCAAAAAGCTAACAAAAGCATATTAAGGAGTCCAACGGGTTTCATAACCATTCCACTTAATTAATAACTATGGCCACGCTTCCTCCTTAGCGTGCGCAATAAGTCCCAAGGCGAGCTCTGCTCAGCTAGGAATGGTTTAGCCTCCGTTTGGTTTCGGATCAAAGGAAGACCGAGTAACGGGATTTTCGGTTTTGGCCGCACGAGAAATGGAACGAGAGCCAAAAAAAGAAAGAGGGGGGAGGGGGAGGGGAAGGAAGGAAAAAACGTTTCCTTCCTTTCTTCCCCGCCCCTCCCAGCTCTTTTACTCTCGCGATCTTTGACTCTTGCTCCTAGCTGTTTGCTCCGAAAACGCACGGAAACGCTTGCTACGCAGGTTAGGAATGGATGAAAACTGCACTGAGTACTCACGTGGTACCCCGATCATTCGGCATCCACATATTTTTGCCGTTGTGTTTGCAAGGCACTGGTAAAAGCAGCCGTCCCTGGTGTAACGTGAGATTTGAGGAAGAACACGCTGAGTGCAGTTTGACTTGTAAGGAGAGGGAAGACGTTGATACTACAAAAATATAAACACAATGTTGACAGATTGAATGTAAAGCAGCATGAAAAAATTGCATAAAAAATTTTCCAGAAAGAGAGCTCACAAGAAGACCCATTTTCGTCAAGCAAGAAAGACCATCAAAAAATAATTTAACAACGTGTTTTCAAAGGCAAAAATTTGCAGAAGGGGGGGGGCAGTGGGGGGTGGGGTGCAGGCTTTTATGCACAGTTTCCTTGAAGATTTATAAAGATGCCATAATCTTACATCACAGATGTCAAACGACCTTAAAGAAATTTCCTCCATTTTCACCGTAGGAAAGAGATGGATCGTTTGGAAAGCCTGTAAGTTACCAACTAATCTCCAACTAGGAACGTCATAGCGCAGTCAACTTTCATAAATATTTACCATCTTATGCCTTATGAACTCTCTAACCAGTTTAGGCTATGCTCACTTTATATCAGATAACTTTTCTTGCCGACACGAAAAGCTATCCCTCGTAGTAGTTTGACAGCAACGGCACAGAACTGGAACAAGTCGTTAACACACATCGCACGCCACGCTAAGGGCCGGAACGGATGACCGACAGGTTTGATGAACTAAATCTCAGTCCTCCCTCCTGAATATTTACCGCCTGTTCCGCCCCTCTTTCCTACTTGTTCACTTCCGCTACGGTCCTAATACACATGCACCAAAGTGTGGCACTTGCGAAATCCGCGCGACGCAGCATTGCTCCCTCACAGAAAAGGCGCCGAAATCACCTTTCTTATGTGCGAACAGCAGCCTTATCTGGTATGAATTTCGTGCCGGCGCAAAAGCTATATATTTTTTATAGTGCGAACATTGCCTTAATCAGGTGCACGAGTGTCACTACGTTTACAATAATTTCCGTATTTGATTTGCTTGATTTTATGCCAATAAATGGACCCTTAGCATTTTCTGGTTTCGTGTTTTTTGGCAGCAATTAAATCTTTGTTCTAAAAAATTTGAAAATCGGCGGCAGGTGTCTTTGTTCTTCCCTAATTAAAAGTACTTTTGAGTTGTCCGCCTCCAGCAAGCCTAAAGGCGACGCTCCCTCTTACTTAGAAGCAGCAATTAAGGACGCTGAAAAATGCTGTGACCGAATAGCCGGAACGCACGCTCGATTTTCGAGTTTTAAGCGTTTAGGTCGTTTAGTAGTTTTTGTTAAGCATGAAGCTAAGGTGTCTGATTTGTTTCTTTTCCCTCCTGAGCTTGCCAACAGACAGACGATCAAATAATTTCTTTGTTATGACGCAAGATGTTGTAGGAAATAGTTTGACTTAGATCAAACACGCAAAACCCATTTAATTCAAAGTTAATTAAAAGAGACGGCTTAACTGTCAAACATGCTCTTCTAGCACTATGTTCGGCTAAAATGTTGGATCTTTTAGCTCGGGCTTAATGAAAGGAGCATCACTAGGGCGCATTGGCAAATATTCCTCGTTTAGAGAATGAGGACCACTTTTTTAATCTACAAACGATGAAGCAAAATAGCCAACAGTCTTCCCATGCGAAAAAAAAACAACGCCCATTTCCTCTCTTGCAATCACTGATCACTGAGCTTTTATATGATAACTGACGACTCTAACACTGAGTGGGGCATTTTAAGGACAATTGCATGGCGGAAAAAAAATCCTGATCAGTCACTCAAAACTAACTGTAAAGCATCGCGCGCTTCTCGTCCTTCTCTGTACGACAGTATAGGTTGATTCTATTTGTGAATGGATAAAAACTACAATGTAAAACAGGAGGACTGTCATTATGTTATTTTATACTCAGTAAAAGGATTTTCCTGAATTTTCAGTTTGATAAGAAGTGCTTTCTAGGGCTGCTGTTTATTTTTTATGCGAAAAAGCCTTTCTGAGTTTTGAATTTCAAAAAATAATCACTGACAGGCTGTTTTCCAGCAAAGATTAACGTTACCTTTGTAACGGTCAAGCCAACCAATGTGTGTGAGCCTGGGTAGACATTGAATCCTTTGTCTATGTTGATAAACGTATTTTGGTCATGAACTATAACTCTTAGCCCGCGTGAAAATTCACTGATCGTGTTTTCATTTGCTTGAACATCCATCATAACACTGAAACCTCCGGAAGATCCCGTCTTCATTGTACGTCGAATCCTTGTTTGATTTTTACCCGAGTTAAATGTAAAACAACGACCGTTACTGGAAAGCGTTGGGTAAAAATCGTCTGCAGTGCAGTTTTCCTTGCCCTTAAAGCGACAATAATGGAGAAACATATCTCTGAAATCATGGCCGTAGGCTTCGAAAAATTCTTCAGGATTGAAAATAGGTACCTTTGTGTCATTCAAAGCGCTGATAATGCGCTGCCTTATGGTCTCGTTGCAGTTGTCAACAATTTGTGATCCAAACAACTCGTACGCACACAGTAATCCTTGTCCACAACTCATGTCTTTATTGACCGTTTTTATGTTTTCACACGCTGATAGATTCAAACTCAGTTTGTAGAAGTCTTCATCGTTTTCAAACATGTTGATTTTCGATTTAACAAATCGATTCAAGTTGCAAATGGTAACAGCAGGAAATTTTACTTCCCCGAGCTTAGGTATAACCTCCTCGAAGCTAGTAGTTGCTGGATTGGAAAAGTATTTGGCCACACTTTCCTGCACCAAAATTATGTAGGTGGTGGTAGCTCCTAAGAGCAGGAGAAGCCATATCACTCTAAAAAATCGTGAAGAACTTTCAAATACATGGCGAAAACCATGCACAGTTGTATATCCCACGAATTCACGCCAAATTGTATGCATGATGTACGGTAACTATCGATGCTGTTTTCAGAATTTTCTTCTTTTTGCGTCGTCTCCCTCGTTTGAGCTTACCCTTATTGTTTAAGTCACAGTTATATTTTTTAAAACAAATGTTCTATGATAACCAGAAAAATGCTTAATGTGATATTTTGACGCTGCCTTCCAGAATAATGATAAAAGTAAACAAAGGCCCTCAGCAGGGAAAATGAATTATTTAGATGGGGATAAAGCCATCAGCATTTAAGCAATTGTCTTTTCCCTGTTGACAGTGAAAAAAAGTTTCCATTTTGATTTCTTTGTCACAAATGCCTAATATTTTTTTTCATGTCTTTCAAAAAGAAAATACCAAGTCACTCTTTTTACAGGTTTGAGCGGCAAAAAGTAAGTTAATTCACAATAGTGAAATTAATTAAATTTTCAAAGATTGCACTATTGAAATAAGCCCAATTTAATTACTGGTAGACAAGCTGGACTTCCAGTTTTGTTGATAATTCAGTGTTAAATGCTAACGTTATGAAATTCAAATGACGCAGAAAATAGATGAAATATGCAGGTTGTTTCCAAAATATTATATTGCCCACTGACATTTGTGCAATGACTTTTTCATAACATACAATTTTTATCAGGGTGTTGCAAGGATAAAAAACAAACACAAAAGTTACGGCAATTAGAAAAAGTACTCGTTGTTTCAAATAACACAGTATTTTGATTTAGTTCGCTGTTGCTGTAGATAAATGGCAAACGTGCTTAATGAGGGGTTTGCCAAATCACATACCAGATCGATGACAAGAGGTAAGCCTCTCTACGAGTACTTGCGGACGTCATTTTCGTCGCCCGTTTTTCATCAAATGCTATGGTCGGTTTTTCAACGAACTTGTTGATATCAAGAATTGTTTTGCGTGATAACGCTACATGCGAGCTCGAACAACCACGATGATGACCATGATGATGAAACTAGAAAATAAAAAACCCAACAGGTTTAGGCCCTGTCCATCTTTCGTTTCGCCTCTGGTTAGCCTCCTAGTGATACAAACAAAGAGGCCTCGACAATGGAAAGAGATCTTGATAAATGTTACGAGGTATTAACTTACAGTTTGTGACTCGGCAGTACGAAGAAGCTCAACAGTATTTAATTCAAAAGAAGGGCCTGTAAACAGAACAAAATCTTGCCTTGATAGTTCTTTATTGATATCGTATTTCAGTTTTTACAGTAATTACTCTTTATACGTCAGTCCGCTATGGTCAGTCTATAGCGCTAGAGACTAGAAGATTCTAGAAACTGTACACTTGTTAGTTTCGCACTTACGCACCCCGCCTCGCGTAGAAAGAATACAAATTATTGTGCTATTTAAAAACGCCACACTCATTTTTATTCAAATTACTATTCTCATTAGCGCATCAGGTGACGTGCTTCTTCCGATGCTCTCGCTTCCATACGATGACTGTTCCTTCAAAAAAAAAAACAAACAAACAAAAGGAAAAAGGAAAGCAAAGTGAGCACAAGCAGTTCAGATAAATAAGCAAGGGCCGTCGTAGCGTTTCATGTGATCGAAACACGACAAATTCTTGGTTTGGAACCACGTGACCAGGTGGCCATGCATATTGAAGGTCAATACAGTAAAAAAAGAATTAACATGAAAATGGAGTTTAGTGAGTTACCAGCGGAGAGACCACCAGCATGGCCGCCATGACGTCAGGCGCAAACCAACAATAAGATATTTCAAAATTCCAAACCCTCTCACTTTTGAAACTGAGGCTATGCGCATAACATTTCATTCGAAAAAGAGTTAAAAGGTTGAAAACGCTTTCCACTGGCTAAAGCAACTGGTTTAAATGACCAGGGCCTGCAAACGAGCCTAAGGTCACCAAACGATAAATCAATTGACCCTTGAAACGTAACACAAAATGTGCTTGTTTCCCTTTGAAATTCTTTAAGTCCTTCGTGGTTATGGGAAAAACGTTTTTGCGCGAAGGATACGCTTTCAGTCGCTCGCGCTGAACGCTGAGCGACTGACTTCGCGCTCACTTTTCACGCCACGGTCATTCGCGCCTCTCCCTCGGCTTTCGAAGCTCAACCTGTGGTTAAGATTTTTTTTTAGTCTCAAAGTTTGATTTACAAAGATTGAACTCTTCGTACCTCTGTATCACAGGACGCCAGCAAACTCTCGTCATAATTCCAACAAACGTCTAGGACCGGTGCCGAGTGGCCAAGAAGTTTGTTGACACACGGCTTCTCCGCGCGCTCAACATCAAAGAAATACACCGCCATGTCCTCACTGGCACTCACTGATAAGACACAAGAATACGGCTTGTTTCCAGTGGAAAAAATCGCAAAAAACTACGATTAAAAAACTACTAAAACCCCAAAAGGTGACTGATTGACGGACTAACTGACTGCCTCACTAGCTAAGTGGTGGTGGTGGTGGTGTGATGGTGTGGCGGTGTGCCGTGGCGTTGCGTAGCGTAGCACAGCACAGCACAGCATAGCATAGCATAGCATAGCATAGTATAGTATAGCATAGTATAGTACAGTACAGTACAGTATAGTATATCTTTACTGTGCCTTAGTTACTTGCACGGTGGCAGTTACTGTTAACAACATGACGTAAAGTAAGTAGATAAAACTAAAGTACTTACCGACACATGCGCCCTGCCTGAACGACATCAAGGGACAGAATGAGCTTCTTACTTGACGAGACTTGTGTTCAATAGAGAAAGACTTTTTCAGTTTTAAACCACCCATATCGTCAACAACGCTGAAACGGCCAAAGAAATCAAAGAAAGACTATCGTCAACTCGTGGGTGCGTGGTTTAGAAAATAATCAATTAGTTATCACCTCTGGTTTTCCCACAGTAAATGTTAGGAAATGATAGAAATCCAGATTATAAATATACTATCCTTGTTCTGGAAACACAATACTTTTCTTGCTGTTTATTGCACTTTATTAACAGTTATTTAGGTATATATTTAAAAAAAAAACAGCAAAACAAATAAGCAAACAAAACAAAACAAAAAAGAAAAAAAAGGAAGAAGGGAAAAAGAAGGTCGTTAGCAGAATTTGAACCCGGTACCTTCGAGTTTACCCGACCTCACATAGCCACTACGCCATTGAGGATGATCGCATGATTTGGTGAAAAGTCTGAAATTTAATGCCTTTTTCATCGAACTTCCGCCGGCAAACGATCGAGCTATACTTAAGCAATTGAAAAAACGACTCGAAGCAATCGGATGAAATTAAGGCTAATTGAAACAAGGCTACTGACAGTAAAAATCAATGTAAACACATTTCATGGCAATGAAAGAACATATGCGATACAAAGCCGACACAACTCCTCCGCGAAGTAGGACGCACTGACATAAGCTTATGTTTTCTTATCTCGATTTCTTAAACTTGGTAAGACCTCTATCCTCTAACCGTGCTGTAGCGGACGATGCACGCTCTCAGCGAGGAATTTGATGCCACCGAACTTCGGCGAGCGCGTGCTTCTTTGGAAACGATAGATCTTCGCACTCTCGAGTTCGGACCCGATTAATTACGAAGTGCGTCTACTACGAGTGAGCGAGTGGCTCATTTGCATATCCCTGTCCCTGCAATAACTCGTGGTACGCTCGTGCGTACCCACGAGTTAAAAACGGCAAAACTTAGCACAAATTATATATTTTTGTGCATTTAGTGACAAATACTTGAAAGACTTTCGAAATTTCCTTCTGGAGTACTGTTTAAGTACTTGAATCAATAAACAAAACCTAAGTCGGAAGATAAGCATTCCAGGAAAAATGTCTAACGTCGAATGATTTTATTCTCTGTTACTAGGGCTCTGTTCACACGAGTTTAAACGAGAATAATCGTAAACAGACATGTTAGTTAACGGTCTAAAGAGCGGAGTAGTTCCGTCGGCTTTAAACGTGCGAATTCGTGTGGACATCGCCTTATTGACCTTGATTTACCAATGGAAACAGACAGCAACATCATTCATTACAACTCACAAAATTTGCATTTATGGAGGTTCAGTCGTCAAACCCAAATTATTTAGGGTTCACATGTAAATCCCACACAGGGGGCCGTGACTTTAAAGAGACCAACCTGGAAGTGGCTCAGGTTCTATTTGACCCTTGAAAGAGACTTTCGTCCAATGTAAGGGAATCCAAGACAGTCTTGGATTCTGGATTCCACGCGGTAGATTCTGGATTCCAGGAACTGGATTCCGGTCTTCGTCAGTGGAAATTGGATTCGGGATAGTAATCGTTTGTGGGATTCCGGATTCCTTGAGTGGTATTGTGGATTCCAAGCGGCCAAGGATTCTGGATTCCACAAAGAAACATTTCCCAGCTTCCGGGTTCCACAAGCAATAATTTCCCGGATTCCGGAACCTGGATTTCCTTTAATGTGATGAAGACTTACCAAAACAGGCAAACAGTTCCAAGAACCATTTAGGAGCTTAAGTTATTTACGTTGCGTGAAATATGCTGAAATTGAATGTTGTTCTCAACACAATACGACGACGTTTGATTTTCTCAGCAAACAACCCTAAGCGATATCTGAGTAGGCAAACTCTATAAAATATAAACCCCAAGGGTTTAAATATCTATCACTCCCGCATTACTACGCAATCACAAAGACATTCTTCTCGCCTGCCTAGCTGTCGGTTTTGTTGTGGAGGGGGAACGGAAGCGCAAGCGAGCGGGGAAGACGCGAGGAGAAATGTGGAGCTCATTGTCCCCTCTCGAACGAAACTGCAAGCTACGCAGGCTAAATTTATCTAACACCCAGGAAGCTAGGATATCATTTACTAACCCATAGAGACAGAGGAGATTAATGGCAACATTGACCAGTAGTACTGGATCACGGGCCTCACGATTCATCCAGCTGCGATAAGAGATTGACGTCACCGGACTGCCTTCCGCTATAGTCATCCTAAGGAATGTATATATATAAAGTACATAACGCTAAAAAAGCTGCAAAAAGTCTTACATGGCTCATACTTGTGCATAGTGCTGACCTAGAAAATTAGAGATTTAGAGTTACGCTTCAAGTACGTCAAACGGTAAACTTCACGCAAAGTGGAGACTGATTTCTCAAAATAGAAAATGAGCAAAAAATTATTGTGGATAAAACCAGCGTGAAACTAATAATTTTTTTGAGAAGCATTTTACAGTAAAATAAAAGCAAAGGGAAAACTTGGACAAGTAGTACAACTGGAGATAACATGCGATGTAGATAGTACCCTGCGAGCAGAGGCCCTTCGAACTTTTCTAAGGACCACCGCTCGAGTATGTAGATAGATGCCGATTACCTAAACGTGACTCTGACACTCTCTACGTAAAGTTGGATGTTACGGCAACAAAAGCAATAACTACATTTAGGTCTTAAGAAAAGCTGGCAAATTAACAGGTTAGTTTCAAACTAACTGTCGGTAAAATCAGTTTTTGAAACTCACCAAGACAAAGGTTTTCGCCGGCACTGGTAATTAAACTGCTGTGATGAGGAATACTTACCGTTTTGCTTTGTGAAGCCTTCCAGAAGCTACGTCAAAACAGAATGAATGAATGGAACCCTAAAATAAAGACACATTTTTAAAAGTGAAAAGCAGGTATAGTAACACTTGAAATAAACTGTTATTAAAATGGTATCTAAGGACAAAGTAGCGTCTGCAAAATCGCGAAAGTTAACAGTACCTTAAGCAACCTGGTGTAACGAATGTTCGGCATGTCTTCGGGATCTCTTTGGGAATCTTGTTGTGATTTTCAATATTTTCTTTATACTGCTTTCCTACTCATATGCCTTGTCAGTAACTGTGCTCACCTTCTGGGTGGCTCCAAAAATGTTTTACCATTGGTACTGATTTAATGACGCCAAAACTATTTGTGGAATTGCACACATTTTAGGCATCCAGCTGGTGAACAGTTACGACTTATTGATACTTCGAGCAACAAAAATATGCCGTCTGTCCCCTTTGAATTGCTTACAACGGTCATCAATCGAATCCGCGCCTTCACCGAAATCCACTCACAAAGGTGACGAAAGTTGTTAAACATCAATCAAAGAAGGCTACCAAAACTGAATAAGTTGGAACTTGTGACATTATATGAAAGCAACACAGCGAAAAGATCGATAATCCAGACGCCATCTCAGTACAAAATGAATAAAAGGAACCCTGAAATGATTTTTAAGCAGACTAAATACACTGTGTAACATAAAATGTACCTTTTCGTCGCCAACCCAGACAAGACCGCCTGAAGAGTCAAAATGCATCGACTTTACCCCCGCAGATACTTTTGCACTGCCACCCTACATAGAATGGAAAATAACATCAGATAGGATGAACTCAATTCTGAACTGCAATAGGTCATTTCCGAGTTCCTCCGGGTCTCTGTTTCAAAACAAGGGTAGGTGCTCAGCCTTTGATGTGGAAATCATTCTTCATTCTCATGCAAATAAAACTCATTTTCACAAGAAAGGTTGTGCACCTAGCCTCATTTTGAAAGTGAGGGTGTTTGGAACTCGGAAGTGGTCTATTTTAGGTCAAAGTCCACAGTAAGTTACTACTTCCAAGTTGGTAACGTTTCGCTACATGTAAGCGAATCCGAATTCCATAATCCGGGAAATTTTTGCTTGTGGAATCTGGATTTTGGACGTTGGAATCAGAATACAGCTCAAGGAATCCGGAATCCCACCAACGATTGGAATCCAAATCCAAGTTCCACCGACAAAGAACCGGGATCCATCCAGTACCTGGAATACGGAATCCAAGACAGTCTTTGATTTCACAAAGGTTGAAACGTTTTCCAACCCGAAAAGGGCCGAAGGTCAAACTCTACTTGCAGTTCCATGTAGGGCTTACCCACATTATTAGATTGAAGGCAAACAGGAAAACATTTCATGAAGAAGATTATTGAAAATCAAAACTGACGTCTGGCCAAAAAGCGTTATCAAAAAGGTCTTTTGCTTGGCCTCTCGACCTTATCCCAATACGCAACCAGTGAAAGATCCAGTCAATTAGGACAAGTATAGACTAGTTGGAGCTATCGCTAAGTGCCAAAGAGCAAAGATTTTACCTATACCGTTGCGCTGTTCAATTTGTTTAGAGAGTTCATGAATTACCCTAATTTGGAATTTTTTATTGTTTTTAACCCTAAAATCAAAAAAATTCCAGCCTGCAAATGCGACAGCTATATGTACATGTTGCAAATGAATCCACCCGACGATTGGTTGAAGACGGGATGAGTAAGGGACCCACAAACACGCACACGGCTCGTGGATTCTCTGCTCTGTATCACGTGTTCGCTCGAAAACAATACAATTCTCTATTCTCCACTACGTCATAAAAGTTACCTTATACTACCTTATGTTACATCGCTTCGATATTCATTCTGTCTTGGAACTTTCGCGCGCGTCTTCGCGAGGCTCAGTGATCGTTGGTAATAAATAACTGAAATCAAATTTTGGAATACACACTAAAAACGATGGATTATTAAACTGAAATAGAACAAATCGTGGCAGAGACCATTTTTAACCCTGATGTGACAGGTTAATACACGGTAATTATATTACCCACCTTAAAACCTTTACCAGTTGACATGTTAAAAACATTCAGATGACCCTTTTGGTTTCCAGTCTATTTACAGCGTTAAGAAAGATTTCTCATTATCATCAACCTGATATATATGTACAGTGTACATGCACGCCAGTGGTTATCTTAAAACTGTTAATGGTACCTGATTTTCCTCAGTGATAGGTATTTCCAGTTACTAGCTCTCCTCAAGAGACAAAAGATTAATGCACACTTATTCTCTCCCTCTTAACCATGAAAGAAAAGAGCACTACTCGGAGCGTTATATGTTTATCTTTACGTAGAGGTTGTATTCGCATCCTGCAACACTGGGTTATCCTAGTTAATTTTACACGTAGAAACGTTCCAATGAGGCACAATCAAACGCCACAAATCAAAGTTTTGTCCATCTTTATTGTTATCTACATTTACCCCACATTTTTTAGCAAAAGGATACGAGAAGCATATTATTGTTAACAGGCTGAAATCTACAAGCTGTCACACCACAGGAATGACTGTCGTTTACAACGCGCAAGCACTGGCCCGAAGAGGGGTCCCAAACTCTTGCGGTACAGTCCAGTGACGCAGATAATATGAAGTCATTTGTTATCGACCAGTCAAAGTCTACATGAGAAAGAAAGCAACAGAAAAAAGTTATTGTTCTTTCTTCCAAGGATTTACTGATGTTCAAAGAAAAATGTAACACTTTTACAGCAACTGAAAAGCAACTAGAGCAAAAGTAAAAACAACAACGACTTATGAATTAATTGCCGTACTTTCACACACTTGTAGGAGCCAGTTACAAGAGAGCTACTCGAAAACAACCGACTTGAAACCGGGATAAATACCGACCAAAAGTCTTAAGAGTACGTCTAGAATCTACCATGTCGAGTTTCATCACATTTTGAAAGAAGTAGAAGTCACTGAAGACTGTTCAGATCCTCGGCATGGAATATATTAATTTTCATTGACGTTGTTTGTTTCACGGATTGTCGCCATCGCCATCTCTATATTACACAAGTTCAGGTCTGTTTAATCTTCTCTGTTGTATTTTGAGATTATAATGATTGTAAGTTCTGACTATTTTTAATGTGCCAACATTTCATTGTTGCTTAGGCGATTTTTCTCTAGAAAAAAGGTTTTTTAAGCTTACAGTTTGACCCCTACTCTTTAGTTTCTTCGGAAAACGATGCATTTTCAGCCACGTGTGATGTTTGTAGAAAACTGGTCAAACCGGCCTTCTGGAGTACATACCGTGAGATATTTGTACTCGTTTTGAGCGTTATTTGTACTCTACTGAGTGAAGTTGTATCAACAAAAAGCAATACTATACATATGTAAGGTACAGTGTTACCCATGATAGCAGCTGTGTGTCCTCTCAGTGTACAAGACACGGATGGAGGTGAAGGTACAAGCGCACAGACTGACAGAGTGGCATCAGTGGAGCTACACGCTAACAGGTATTTATCGTCATGCGCAAATTTAATAGCTGTCACTGCAGGAAGAAAACAACAAAGAATAAGCCATAGACTACTGTACACGAATATAAAATGAACTTTGTTGCAAGACATCATAGGTAAGCCTGTGAACAGGGCATCATGGTGCTACATCTAGTATGAGACAAACTTAGGTGCTGAGCAGTGCCTTGGGGAATATATTGTACAGGTACGTGCTAAGAGAGGTATTATCAAATCAAAAAGTAAGCATGACAGAAGGTATTTTGAAATTTTTTTACATTTCCTCATTGAGAAACCTAATCTCTGCCTACATCCCTGATGAATGGATGTTGTTAGTACCATGTAATTTGAAATAGACAAGTTAATGTACATAGTACTAGTTACAGTACCCCTTTTTGAAGGCAGTTTTGTCTAGAACACTCTCCTGTGCAGAACATGATTGAAAGTTATTTACATTTATTTTAAAGAACTTTCAATGCCTTAGTGTACAAAAATACCATCTCCAGGCTATATTGACAGTGTTGTTTAGATTATAAAAAAAAATTGCTTCACATTTAAAAAGTTAAATATTTGAACTGATCCTTACCACTTTTTGCATGTTGATCAAAGATGTGATACATGCCAGCAAATGCATAGTTCTCTCCCAAACTAGTGTTTCCTGCCATTCGCCTTGTGGAAAGTAACCAAATAAAAAAATCCTTTACATGACTGTATTTTATAAACCTCTGCTTTTCTACTTAGTTTTAACATAGTCAAACGCTAATTTGCAAAAATCTCTGTTAACCCAAGACCTTTCAAAGGTGATGACCAACTTAAAGTTCTCAGTAAAAGCACTATGTTTGGAACAACTCTCACAAGCAACCTCCTCTTGAAAGTGACAAACAAATCTCAGTATTTTAAGAGGTTTCATTGTACTTGTTTCCACAGTTAAACAAATTTTCTTACGCTGCATCAATTCAAACATGTCTGGTGATTCTCAATGGTGTGTAATTTTAATACACAACATCAATTTTCTGTGCTGTTTCCAATCAGTTGCCCTCTTCTGGTGATATTGAAATGTTCTGATGAAGAGCACACTTGAAATAACAGCTTTAGAATCTCTTCAGTCTAAATGTAACTGTCATGAGGCCCCTTTCAGGGCTCGAAATTAATGCTTGCAAACTCGCAAAATGCAAGGGATTTTGGGGATTTTGATAATCTGTGAGTGAAAAAAATGTCCACTAGCAAACGTTTGCGAGTTAGAATCATCTATGTCTCTTAAACAAAGGGAAAGAATTTGCTAGTGGTCTCACCATTTTGCTAGTGGAAAAAAATCGTACTAGTAAAACTTTGCAAGTGCACTAAAATGTTAACTTTTATCCTTGCCTTTTCTTGGGATAAGGGATCATAAATGTATGTCCCTGGTCTGAATGTCAAAACCCTTCATTTCATATACTGGGGAGGATGCCATGTCCCTGTCAGGATTTCCCCGTTATATTGCATTTGCACATGTCTTTGCCACCACTTACATGTAGTTTCAATCCTTCTTTGCCTTGTTTGTTATCATTATTTTAATCTGTCTGTGAATGTTTCAAGGCAATGGTTTAACCTGACAGTACTTCTAATTTGCACTCAAGTTATGTAATCACCTGCTGGCCTCAGCTTTGCGTGTGGGTACTACACCTCTTGGTGGGGACTCTGGCCGATCCTGTGGAGGCAGGAATTTGAAAGAGCCGCCACTGTGGTAACGCCTATGAGTGGGCTTGTTTGGGGTATGTCCTGCTTCAGGTGAATCAATGTGAAGAGAGTCGAAGCTGGTCTGTAAAAAGAGATTAATACCTTTAAGTATATCCCAGGGTTTTCTCCGGCTATAACCTTCTCTGTTTATTATACAGCTAAAACTACAAGTACTTGCAAAAAATGGTTACAACACATTCCTGCCAAAGATACTGACTGAGAAAATTACCAAAATCTTAAAAAACATTTACAGGTCAGTATATAGTTCCCAATATGACAAGGCCAATGATCCCTACCTCATTTATAATGTACTGGTAACAGCATTACAAGGGGGACGGGGAAAGACGTAACTTCTCCCTCCTGACTTGCACATGCAATTGCCTCAGTCAAGAACATTTCAACTCTTATAGCTCCACGAGACAATTGTTTACAAAAAAAAATTACTTTGTTTTACCACACCTATAAGAAAAGCTAATAATTAATGTTTGTTAATTCAAGTTTGCATTCATGCAAGCTTACCTCAAAAGAGCTCAATTTACTATAAGTGCTTGCACTTCGACTTCTGAAAATGAATTTAAAGAAAATATCATTGCAGGTGACCAGAGGAGCCAGCAATCCTAATCTCCAGGTTGTTATTATGCATCTGTCGCATATATGTAGCCAGCATTCATTTGGACTTTACTTCCACTAAGAATGAATGGACTGATCACTTGTGTTTGGATCTTCTGTCACTCATAATCTGATAACGCGTGTGTTGGCTATCTGTCACGTGAAACTTATGCAAAGCACAGTGATGGAGCAAAAGTGTTCTGACCTTCGATCGTTGTTGCCCACACTATGTAACCTTTGCTTTGATTGGCTGAAAATTTGCTTCAACCATTACCCAGATCCAGGTAGTGATGCATCATCAGTATGGAATTCTCCAATCGTTTCTCAGACCTCATTTTGCGGGAAAAAAGTGATACCATCATGAAATGTCAGCTGTTTTCCTCAGCTATAACTGCACTGAATTTTATAGCTTATCGAGTCTATAGCTAGACAGCACTTTATCTTTTCACCTAAAGAGGAAGGTCGACAGTACCAACTATCTAACAATGGTATGAAGCAATAATTATATTGTGTGTTACTTTCTTTTTTAGCTAACTAAAGCACATAATCACCTGTGTTCTTATCTGCTGCTACACTGGACCCATGCTTTCCGAAAAGATACCCAAAGTAAAAATCCAACACATGGTGGGTTTTAAATTTTATAACATTTCTTACCGTGATAACGATGACTCAGATGGTCCATATCGCTTTGAAAGCAGCTGTCTTCGTAAATAAAGATACTGACGACGACAAGAATGATCTGCTTTCTAAAATAGTTCAAATGACCAGAGTTAGCTATAGGCCTTAGTAAAAAATCTTGAATTAAATAAATAAATAAATAAAAATATAGAGTTATTGCCGATTGACGGCAACATCAGGGATGAGAAAATAATCCACCTGGAATAAAAATAGACAATAAATGAATAAAAATAATAAAATAATAATACCTCTTTTTTCGCATTTTCTCTTAGCAGTTGATTCCTCCTTCTAATATACAAGGTTCCTACATCAATCGATGGAAAAACATCAGAGTGTAATAGTCTTTCAAGGTGAAAAATATGAACGGAATAAGTAGGTTATAATAGTCCGTCGGACAGACAGAGGTGGCGGGGGGTGGGGGGGTGGTGGAGTGCGGATAAACAATGCAATGTCCCATTAAGTACCGTATTTTGCTAAATTTATGGAAACTATACATTTTGATACCACTTAACCAAAGGTTAGCGCTAACCAGGCTTCGAGCAACCGGCCCCTGTATTTTACTTTGAGCCCTAAGAGTGATCAGTCTCAAATTTCTCCCTGCAAAACAGGATGGTCATGAGAATCAAGAATATGATCGCACAAGATAAACTGAATTTACAGTTTCACAGTTTCTCCCCACTACTTCTTTTGGAGATATGTATACAAACAACAGATGGGGATTAAAATTTTGGTTTGAAGGGTTCGTCCTAAGGCTGGCTAAATAAATAAAAGTTGGTTTCAAAATTCGTTACTTACGATACTGAGGATTACTTTGAACTCTGTAAGCGTTGTATCGAGCGTCTAAAGCTAAAATCTGCTGAGAGATGTTCATCTTAAGCTTCTATTGCAATCAGCTGTTTCGATTATTTCTCTCAGCCGCCATCTTTCATCATATGAACAACAATGCATATCGTACTTCATGTATGTATAAATTATTCTTAAAACACCCGAAGTTTCGCGGGCTCATTCAAATCAAAGATGGCTGTAGTCCCTGCTGTTGCAGAAGAAACGTTTTTATCTGATGTCCATCTCTATACACCTTTTTTGCAAACGTCCAAGAACAATGTTGGTATGTATATTCGATCTGATAAGAAGCAATCTGTTTTTGATCGATAATCATTCGCAAAAAGAGTTAATATTTCTACCATGTAAGCTAATATAATAATCTAATTATTTTCTTTTTAATTATTAATAAATTATAATAATTTCTATATCTATATCACAGCAATATTCATTGTTTTATTTCGAGACAATACAGTAACTTGCCAAGTAAATAAACCTGGGGATACTGTATTTGGTGTACTGGACCCATCCCCTGAGGTTTTTCAACCTTGGCACTGTCATTTGCCAAATAACCATGTATACAACTTAGGAATGAACCACTTTAGTAAAATGATGGGGAGGGGGGGGTCTGGAGATTTTAGGAGATGCAGGAATTTTTCCCCTTACTAGGCACCTTTTTTGTGATCATCTATGAAATGCAGAGAAATTTTTCTTGATTATGTGCTGTTTTTGTTTTTGTTTCTTGTTGTTTTTTATTGGTCCATCCCTTAAGTAGTCAGACAAAGAAAGTCTAAAAACTTTAGTTCTTGGGCCATCATACCTTAATCAAAAATAAAACACAAACTGCAGTGATAAACATAATAGATAAAAATGCAAATGTTCACAATGTTTATTACCACTCTTGTGTTTTATTTTTGATAAACCCTAAAAAATATTCAGGCTTCACCCTGCAAAACCAGTTCACCAGAAATTGTTTTGAATGGTTCCAGATCATCTTAACATGTAAAAATTAGAACTCGGAAGAATTAATTTATTAGTCAGCTGACTTTTTTTTTCCCTTTACTTGGACAGCATTTACAAGGTTCAAAATTAAAGAGTACTCAGAAACTAAAAACCATTTTGTATCCAAAGACATGGAAAAGATTCACAAAGATGAAGATGGAGATTTGTCACCTCCAAGAAAACATACTAAGCTGGGAGATTCTGATGTCATTACAATAGGTACAGTTAGTTCCAGGGATGTAGCTTAGGAATAGCTATGCAGACTTACCGTACACAATAAAGCTAGCTGTTTTACTCCACATCTTTAATGTCAAAAGTACCCCTTGTCTTTGCCCAGTGCAATTTGACCCAGTAGTAAGCTCTCTTTCAGCCAGTGAAATCAACCAGCAGCCGCTTATTGGTTACATCCCTGCAGATCAGTTATATTTTGTTTAATGTTTGTGAGTCCCTCCTCTGGTTTTATTTTACTGTAAATCCTCTATTAAGCCCCCTGGAGGGCTTATTTTTTTCAAACATGTTGGGCGGCAGCTTGACAGACACTGGGGGCTTGTTTGAGAGGGGGGCTTATTTAATTTAGAAAAGACAATGGTATAAGTTCTCCATGAAGAACTAGAATACAAATTGGAAAAGCTCAAGTACAAGAAGTTGGAGGGCTTGCAACCGGGTATCAAAAAAAAGTCTGAACATCTAGTTGGTAAATCACCATTCTGGATCAGTCAACACAAACTTTTGCAGTCGCAGGTGATTAATTAATATAGTCTATCAGTCACTAGTGAAGAATAATAGGGGGGGGGTGGGCTTAAAGAGTTGGGGGGGAGCATACAGGTTTAATAGCATACTTTTAGGTAAGATTTTATAAAGTTATCTCAGCTATTTTAAGAATAATGTTTGTCACAAGTACATGAAGCCTGCAAATGCGATGACCGGCAATATGTCTGAGTTCGCAGGTTAAAGTACATAAAATTTTTATTCTATAGATAATGACAAACCATTGCTTTAATTTATTTTATTTTGCTCTTGTTTTGCTTATATGTACTAGAGCATTGTCTGTCCACTCCAATGAAAGATGTGGGACTGCAGGTGATTATTGATTATCTAATCCCTTTTAAACTGAAAAAAAAAACAGACAGTAACACAGGAAGGAGAAAGAGAAATGGCTTTTCTATGACTCAATTTTGCTTGAAAAGGGACTGGTTTTAGCCTTATGATTCTTGTAGGTTTGAATTTGTGGTTTGTAGGTTTTAGAGGCAGTATTAGTGGCCAGTTGTTCAGCATGCAGAAAAGTCAAGTCTGATATTTCAGGACCAGTGGTTTCCATTTTTTTTTACATGTCTGCAGCTTATAGGTTTCGATCAAGTGCTTTTTGAAGTGACTTATTATCAGAGAGAAATTAGAATTTTAAAAATGGCTGTTTACAGATTGGAGAGAAATTCCTGTCAGAAATTTTTCAATATGGTAATGATAATAATCATTAGGGCATTGACTTAACCACAACAGCAAAAAACTTCAGTAAAGATGGAGAACCATACCAACCATTTATAAATGAATACTTACAATAACCTTCAACTAACAACAAGCAATGGTAGTTTATAATACAGCTGTGGTTCACAGAAATTATATGGGTGAAAACTCACATCTGGATTTGCCTCATATACTATAGTTCCAATATGGTTAGGTATGGTTAAGGTTTCTGTATTAGGGCTTTTCCCAATATAAGCCCCTGGCTGGTGGTTTTTGTAATTTTTTTTTTTCAATTTCACCTTTTCATCTACTTTGAAAATCCAAAAATTAGATACTGGATGGAAGAGCAAACTGCTCTTGTTCGGTAAAGGCCATTGGAAAAGAAATTGTTGCTGATTTATTGTAAAGCCTATGATGGGAAAGATTAAAGAGAATAATGGATACCACAGAGTTTTCTTTGCTCTTTCTCTATCTCTCTCGCTTTTTTGTCTGTTTTTTGCTGTTTCCTACATTATAGTTTAGAATCTGTATCCGCAAACTGTAAATGCCACCTCCACCTTAACTGAGATAGCCCTTACACTTCAATAGTTGTTCAAACTTTTGTAACTACACATTATATTCACACTCTTTTGTATTACTCTTTTCCTGCAACCAGGTTTGGAGGGGAGCTCTCTTACTTTCTGACTTTTTAATTCACAATGAAGAAAGGTACAATCCTGTTACTATGTCATTTTTTCTCTTCAAGCAAGCCTTACGTTACCTGATTTTTGTTGTTGTTGTTGGTTTACGGTTCTTACAAAAAAAGCCATCAAAAAAATTACTTCTTCCTGATTCTGCAGATTTAACAAGTGCATTGCTTTGGAGCTTGGGGCAGGTCTTGGTTTATGCAGTATTGTATTGGGAAGAGTGGCCAAAAAAGTGTTTTGCACAGGTATGCTAAAAACTACTAGCGAGTTTTAGTGCCTACCATGCGAGTTCTAGCTTTGGAAATAACCAGTGTCACAACCGAGCATGCATGCAGTCTTAAATGTCCACACCTGTTGTAGTCATAGCGCAATGTCTATTTACCACAGTTTCAAGTAAAGCTTGAATAATTATTATATGGAATGAGGAACTTGTAAGATGATTGAAATAATTAATAAATCCTTCATGTTGGTTTTTTATATTTCATATGCCTACTATCGTCTTTTTATGGTTCCAAGCAAAATATGGTTTAGGTACTTTCTTTCCTACCTATCATAACATAATGCAAACACATTTTTGATCTTTGCTGCTTTGTAAACCAGTAGGCAAATGAATTTAAAAGGGGCGTTACATGAATAATTAGGTATCTAAAGTCAACTGGTAGTTTTTCCAGTCTTCTGAACTGTTAAGAATCACTGCTTTTTATTTTATTAGCCTTAGGTCACTAGGTTATTTGCATGAAATGATTTAAATGTTACCTTGCCTTTGTATTATATTATCAGATTCGATGGAGAATATTCTTCGATGTTGCGAGGACAACATAACTGCAAATTCGCATCTCTTTAAGTACGGTATGAGAGTGTTTAAGTAGTATATCTCAGGGGAGGAAAATGTGGAAAGTTTTTCACAACATGTGAAAATGCAGAACCAAACAAATCCAAAATTGTTTTCGACACTAAATTTAATACTGGTCTAAGTACTTAATTATTCTATTTTGCTATTACATAGGTTGTGACGTTGTTTCAGTGCGCAAGTTTGACTGGTTGGCATCAGGGTTACCTACAGGTAGGTATGCCGGCGTTTAGTTCCGCTTGGCCTTGTAAATGTGTCACTTATTTTACTTTGTTAACCGCCAAACAAAATATTTCCTATTTTATTTAGGTGAAGGTGATTTCTGTTGGACGAAGGAAGATCAAGAGGTTTTAAAAAACGTGACTGTAGTACTGGCCGCTGATGGTGAGTTTGCCTTTCGCATATGCGAAGAAGCTGACCGGAGTAGCCTGAATAAGTCAATAAGTTCGTTTAGAGACATAAGAAAAAAGGTATCTAAACAAGCAGACCATCAATCCATCATAAAATCCCGGTTAAAAATTTTGAAAGTTCCACCTATGAAGCAGATCCAGTTTCTTTTATTTTCTATCTTAAGCTGATGGATTCTGACAAATGTTTTGATTTTATAGTGATATATGATGATTCGTTGACGGATGCCTTCATTGAAACATTTCTGCGTCTCATGGAAGCTAACAAACAGATAACCCTTTTGTTGACCATTGAAAGACGGTAAGTTTGACTGAAAAGAAAATCATTCCCTTGTGATTCTAATGGTTTGTTTCTAACCCTTGGACTAAAAGTCTGCCTCAATGCCTGGTAAGCCTGGTAACCCTAGTTCAATCAGATTTAACGGGGTTTTGAAAACGATAAGCAACATTGAAAGCCTGGATAACCCTAGTTTCACGAGGCTTTTGAGGTAAACTTCAGACTTAACAAAACAACGAGGTTTACTGCAGGGACACGCAGCAAAAGAGTTAAATTCCATTTAATAAACCTCCTCGACTGAAAAGCGTGCAGAGGTAGCTATTTAGGTACATTGTGTGTCTCAGGGTCATGACTTTGGAGTTGGTTTTGAATTAAACACTTTTAGCTGAATGAGTGCCTTTCCTATCTGATCACGTTCTTTATCTGATTATTGCTTTTAGTTTAAACTTCACCCTCGAGGAGCTTGCTGTGACATCCCCAGCATACAATTATTTTCTTAGCAGAATAAAAGAGTTGGAAACCAAAGAGCAAAGACTATCAACAAGAAAGCTTGACATAGACTTTCCCAACTACCTTCAGTACGAGAGAGTAAAGGAACTGGTAAACTTTGCCTTTCGCTTCTTTTTAGTAACTTGTACATTATGAACAGCAGTTTAGCCTTGTTGAATGTAGAGAGAGCAACGGACAAAAACAGGGAAAATAGGGAAAACACTTTCTAACTTACATGCTATCTTTTATTCATCTCATTTTTTTAGGAGCTGTGGGAAATTAAACCAGCTTGAGAAGAGAATGGTAGAGCCAGTGCGAAAGAAATTTTAGGAAGTCTATATTCGCTAGATTTACTGACCTGACCCTAAACAGGTGACGAAGCACAATCTCGTACGAAGAAGAAGAATTTTCCGAGTCTCTAGCAAAGATAGACTTTCCTAATTGTTTCTTGACGTTTAGCCCTTAAAATGTACACGTATGCTCGATTTTACTCTCCCCTGGATAAAACCTTGAAAGAAGCAAAGACAACTATTAAACATTGTTTTCGGCACGGCGAACGATCAGGCGGGAATTATGGAAAGAGTGAACTGGGACAACCAAAGTGTTCCCCCAAAAATCATCCCTTTAGCTGGTAAGTTGTTCTTTAATTGATCACGTCTCTTAGTAGACAAAAATGGTAGTTTTTACGGTGACGCAGTATCACAGGGTTCTCACTCATCTGTGATTCAGTAATTTTTTCTACGGACCTAAACTATCTGGAACACCTGGAAAAAAATCCTTTTTGTAAGGGACAGTAATCACAATTAGTCTTAAAATTTAGAATTGAATTGGAGCAGTATATTGTTTTAGTGTTTACACCAAAAGTGATTCACAAGAAAACTTGGGGACGCAATCACATCGTTCCCTAGCCACAGTTCTTCATATGCATTTTGCCGTCTCGAAAATGGATATCGACGGGTAAATAACAACCTTTTCCAGAACAAATCAGGGCGTTAATTGAGCGAAATATTCAATTTAGTTCCCGGTTTCAAAAAACCATTTTACATTTTTAATTTATGTCACGTACAACACTGTACGTACTAATAAGTATTATATTTTGCTTCATATACCACACCTGAATTAGAAGACCGACGCCAGAAAGTCTGGGCACCCAGACCATTGAAGTGACCAATGAGGTCCTGCAACACGTCAAAGAAGCTAAGAGAAAACGTGCTGCGCATGTGGAAGAATGTGAGCAACGCAAACGTGGCAAACGTTCCCCCAGTAACGACAGAAGAATAAAGCAGTCTGCGCCGCCAGCCAACGAGCAGCACGTTGAAGGAACTCATCCTCCGTCGTTACAGCCGCCTTCCAGCGAGGAAAATGTCACAGAGGAACACCAGGTTTAAAAAGTAGGACAGCCAGTTAAAGACAAAAATGGTGTTGGAACCCTGCCTCCATTATCATTCATATAACAATACACTAAGTGACGCAGTTTACCTTCCAGTGTCTGTCACCTGAGTTCGGAGAAGACTTGTTATCTGACCTAGTCATCATCATCATCATCTACATAAATGACTTACCTCTAGCAGTTCAAGGTTGTTGCGTTGAGCTTTATGCTGACGATACACTTATCTATTTTGCAAGCAAGTCAGTCAGTGAAATTCAAGCTCAGTTAACTAGTGGCCTGACTAATGTCCTAAGCTGGCTTCACGCTAATTTTCTAATACTTAATCTTGAAAAAACGAAGATTATGCTTGTCGGTACCCATCAGAGGACCGCGGAGGCTGACGATCTAGTTATAGAAATCAGTAACACGCGTTTAGAGAGAGTTAACAAGTTTAAATATCTTGGGGTCCTCCTAGACAACACCCTATCTTGGAAGGACCACGTAGAATATATCGGTAACAAGATCTCGTCTAGATTAGGTATTCTGCGTCGAGCGCGTAAGGTTCTTCCCAAATCAACTTGTCAAATGCTCTACAATACTTTAGTCCTGCCATTGTTCGATTACTGTTCGCCTGTCTGGGACAGTTGTGGGGTTGGGAGCAAAGCCTATATAGATAGGCTAAATTGTAAATTAAACGAGACTTACCTGTAAGGTGAAGTTTGATTGAGGTTCTACCAGGTCATCACAGCAGCAGAGATTACATGAGATAGCGCATGCGCATAGCTGGTCAATATTAAAAGCACTGAGTGTCCGTATGTAATAAAAAGAAGACCCAGTAGGCCCATAACAGGATATGGGCTGAGTATGAAACCAGGGAGGGTAACAACTGGGAGGGCATGTAATCTCTGCTGCTGTGATGACCTGGTAGAACCTCAATCAAACTTCACCTTACAGGTAAGTCTCGTTTAATTTACAATTCTACCAGGTCATCGCAGCAGAGATTCCATGAGATTTCAAAGCCATATGGACACGAAGACAAAATAAACAAGGAACACCTATAAAACACAACTGGTGTCCTAGTTTATTAACTGTAGTAGAAAAACCAAGACCTAGGAAGCTAGGCTTATACATAAATGCTGGTACCAAGAACAGCTTGGCCAAAACGAGAAACATTATCTTCAATAGGTTTGTTGTAAAACTTACGGAAAGTGCAATCTCCTTTCCAAGACGCTGCCTTAAGAATCACATCTATAGGCACCTGGCATGCATTTGCTTTGCTGGTAGAAGCAGCTCTGGTACTATGGGGTTTGAACACTTCCACATCAATACCAGCCTTGATCATAACATTCTTAATCCAACGTGAAATAGTGTCCCTCGACACGGCCTGGTAGGGTTTAACAAAACTAATAAAGAGTCTGGTGTCTCCACCTCTAAGGGGTGCAGTACACTTAATGTATTCTGAGAGAACTGAGTAAACGCAAACCCTGCCATCTGCTGGGAAGGCAGGAAGGATAAGCTCTGGTAGATTCCTGCCTGGAGCTGACTGCTTAACAATATCCTTAATAATAAATTTATAGTGGTCAGTATTTTTCTGCATACTAGTAATATCCATAAGATGGAAAGACTGACATCGCTGACCTGTAACCAGTGCTATTAACATAACTAGCTTATGGGTAAGCTCTTTAAGGCTTATGCTTTCCAGCGGTGGAAATGTTTGAAGGTATGTCAAAACGCTTGTGGGATCCCAGACCGACTGGTATCTAGGTATACTAGGCCTATTGTTAAATACAGCCTTCAAAAAACGGTTAACTAATGGGTGAGAACCCACAGTTTTGTTATCATCTAGGTGGATAACAGATGATAGAGCACAACGAGCAGTATTCAGGCTACTGTAGCCGAGTCCACTATCAAACAGTTCAGTTAAGAAATCTATGACTTCTGATATAGCTGGTTGAATGGGATCAGTATTCCGTCCACTGCTGAATGTGGTCCACCGCTGTAAGTATGTTCGGTACTGTTTCTGGGTTCCTTCCCTCCAGGACTGCAGAATGAGCTCTTGAGCCCTCGCTGAAATGCCTTTATTTTGGAGACTTTCCCTGATAAGTGACATGCCATCAGCAGCAGTTTTGCCCCCAATGGGTGTTCTTTCCCTGGGTTGAAGGGGAGGTGTACGATGTTGGGACGATTGGGGAGTAGCACTGGGGTCTGCACCAGAAGTCTTGTTAATTTGGGAAACCAGGACTGTGTTGGCCAATGAGGGGCTATCATGATTGCTTCTGCTTGATCCTCCTCCACCTTTTGTAGAACTTGTGAAATTAAACTGAAGGGAGGAAAAACATAGTTATATTGTGTTCCCCAGTCTAATGTAAAAGCATCTACTCCAACAGCATTAGGATCAGGGATCCATGAAACATAACGAGACAGTTGATGGTTAAGTCTGGATGCGAATAAATCAAGGTCAGGTTTGCCAAATAAGGAAAAAATTTCTGACACCACTGGTTGGTCCAGTTTCCATTCTGTTTTGTCATTAAAAACCCGGGAAGCAGAGTCTGCTTCGATATTCTCGACCCCAGGGATATGTGCAGGTGTGATCCAGATATCTCTGTCCTTGCACCAAAGCCATATGTCTCTGGAGATATCATTACAAGGGGTAGAGATCCCCCATGTTCCTCAGATATGATACAGTGGTGGTATTATCAGACAGAACTTTAATGTGGCAGTGATGTTCTGAAGGGCATAAAGCCTTGAGGCCCAAAAAACAGCGAGGAGCTCTAGGGCATTAATATGCAGTTGAGCTTCTTCCGGGGACCACCTGCCACCTGTGGAAATCCCATCTGAAAAGGCTCCCCACCCTTGGGTAGAGGCATCTGTTTTGAGTTCTCTTGTGATTTTCCCATGACTAATCTTCCTTTTGCATGTTTTGGCATGGTTCATCCACCAGACTATGTCATTTTTGCTGTTTCAGACAACATCATAGGACTTTCAAAATTCCAGTTGGAATTTTTTTAGAGCAGTTGATTTGTCAATCTCAAGTTGTCTGTAAAAAGTCTAGCGTACTCTACACCAGGGAAAAAAAGATACCATAATGCCCACTAAACGAGCAACCAGTCTAACAGGAACAGATGTAGATTGCAATACCTGATGTGCTGAGGCAAGTAGCTTGCCAAAATTGTGATCTGTTATGCTAACAGACATGTCTAAGGAATTTAAAATAAAACCCAGATGTTCAAGAATCTGTGTAGGTTGGACAACTGATTTAGCCAAATTAGGGCAGAAACCCAAGTCCCCTAGAAGGGTTAAGGTATCCTGGACATTGGATGAGCAGGCCACACTAGTGTCTCCTTCTAAAAAGGAGTCGTCTAAATACCCACTAGAAACATGTCCTTTGAGTCGGAGGTATGCATACACAGGTTTGAGTAATTTGGTGAACACTCTGGGAGCACAGGCAAGGCCCTGCGCAAGGCAAGTAAACTGATAAAGCTTTCCTTTCCATAAAAACTTAAGATATTTTTGATGTGACCGGTCAACAGGTACAGAAAAATAAGCATCTGAAAGATCAATAGATGCCATAAAACACCCAGGTTTCATCAAGTGAACACAGGTTTCAATATTATCCATCTTAAAATGATGGTAAGCAATAAAGCGATTGAATTCTTTCAAATTCAGAATCATTCTGAAACTCCCATTTTTCTTAGCTCGAGAAAACGGGGGATATGAATTCGGTGGATTCATGTTGGGACTCAACAATGATACCCCTAGACAAAAAATTTTGAATCTGCTGATCTAAGGCCACTGCTGCCTCAGTATACAGAATGGTAGGTCTAACTCTACCTAGTTGAACAGGCTGTATGTCATAAAACTCAAGTTTGTAGCCCTGTACGATGGACAGAATAGTTCTGTCAGAGGTAATTTCTTGCCACTTGGCCAGAAAATTCTTAATTCTTCCACCAGTAATAAGGGTGGGTACAGAGCTTACCTTAGGTTGAGTCATGACTGTTTCACAGTCTGTTTCATTGTTTTCGTCTCGGTTTTGCGAGGTTCCTTCCTGTATGAGGGGTGATTGCTCCTCTGATAGCCTCTGCCATGGTTGCTGTACTGGTTGAAGGGGCGCTGGTTGCGCCCCCCTTGGCCCAAAAAAAAGACCGTGATGGCCCTTTATACTTCTGAGAACTTGGCTTGTTGGATCTTGTAAGCTGTTTGGCTGCTTTGTTACTCTCGGTAACTGTTTTCAGCCGTTCGGCTAGGTCGTCACCAAACAGTTCACTTCCAATTGGGTGCTTGTTATTACACAAGGCCTTGTAGCTGTCATCTAAATCTGTTTTGAACAAGTCACGGCGGCAAATATTCAAGCTGTGGTTAGCCGCCGCTACAAGAAGAAGGGAATTCGATAGAGCTTCCCATAGGGTCTCTTTGGTTGGCATTGCAGCGCCTGAATCCAAAGATTCACCCACTTTTCCTGTCATGTCTGCAAGAGGAATAAGCCCTTTAATCAGGGTGTCTTGCAAAGCTTGAAGTCTAGCATCCATGCTTCGTGTTGGCTTTTTAGCGATGTCCCAAATCTCGGAATTGACACGAGTTTGGGCAAGTAATGTGCTGTTTGTGGGCCTATGAATGTTCTCTTTTCGCCGCTTAGTGGCTTGATCATTAAGACCACTGGCGAGGATGTTGTTAAGAACGTTTGCGATTTTTTTCCGAAATCGCTGGCCCCGTGACTTCGTCCTCGGTCACTTCGGTGACAAGTGAATCCACTTTGCCAGTAGTATCTGTCGTTTTGGAACGGGGTTGTTCGTCCGGTTGTGGCGTGATTCTGGGTCGCTTTGGCGGAGGCCCTTCCTCATTCTCGCTTTCAGCCAACGAAGGAGCGTCGACATCATCCACATCTTGCAATAGCCAGGCATCGTGAGACTCTTGTAAAGTTTTGACAACGGGCACCATGTCTTGCACGAGGCTTGTCAATAGGTCGAGTTTGTGGAGAAGCCTAGCTTCTCCCTCGCCTTCAGCAGAGTCAGCAGCCTGACTCGTGTTTGCGGCAGATGTGGATTGTTGTTTTGGAGATCGAGACGATCCTGTAAGCGTAGTTCCTTTGCTTGTCAAATTCGGCGAATTTGACTCGGTCAGTGACTCCTTGGTCACATCAAGGATTTCATCAAGTACGCCGGAACCCGGCGTAGGCATTTTTAGTGAATGAAAAAACACGGCAGTTATAAACTTTGCTTCGCAAAGATTGCCGATGTATGATAAATAAGAAATATAACTTTACGATGGTGAAGATAGACACCGGATTGTGATGGGCTAACAGACCAGCCTTGCCAAAATGGCGACGCAAGCACAAAAATTGACCAGCTATGCGCATGCGCTATCTCATGGAATCTCTGCTGCGATGACCTGGTAGAATAGACGCGCCGCGTGTATTATTGAAGGTCGATCTATCAGGGCTGAGGAGTTAAAATCAACACTTGGCTGGCCTAGCCTACAAGCACGCAGATATTATCTCAAATGCGTCTTAGTCCATAAAAGTGTGTTCACGGAATAGCGCCTTCGTACTTACTTTCAGAGTTTAGACACGCGCACCTTTTCCATGGTTATAAGACCAGAAGTCGTGATTTGCTGCGCCCTCCCTTCGCAAAAACTACCAAATACAAGGTAGCTTCAGAATAAACGGTGCTCGGACCTACAACATCCTACCGAGAATCATTAGACAAGTAGAGACCCTCAGTGAATTCAAAATCAAGCTAAAGCGCCACTTTAAACAGTAACACCTGCGTTACATGTTGTCTTGACTTAATTAATTGTCTAATTTTAATGTTTTAATGTCTTTGTTTTTGTGTTTTGTCAGGGCTCCATTTAAACTGGCTCTGCTAAATTGGATGCCCCTGGATAAATATTGAATTAAAAAAAAAACGTAACTTGTGATGTAAGCAGTTATGTAAATAATGTGTTTGCTTCAAGTGGAGAATGGTCAACAACAAGTGCGGTGGTTGGCGCTGGTACAACTGAACATAAACCACCCTTCAACCGGCAATTACCGGAACACACATGCTGGCATCCCATATAAATCAGGATCCTTAACATTCTCCTTGGAGGTACTCACTTAAGTGAAGAAGGTTAGAAGTTTGGTGGTTTGTCTTAAATCTGCCGTTTACCCTTTGCCATAAACGTGACTCTAAATCTCTTTATTATTAGAGAGATCAATTCAGCATCGCGTTTACCGCAAAGGGCAAACGTGAGATTCAAGTTAAGAAATTTTCAAAATGAAAAATTAGCAGATAAAACAGCTTAAAACAATTCTTATGGATAGAATTGGCGTGCATCTACCGATTTTCGTGTAGTTATAATGAACAGTAAACCACAAGTGAATGGAAAATTTGCTCACGTGGTACAAATTCACGTTTGCCGTTTGCCCTAAACGCGATGCTTTATATCTCTAATTAACGTAAAGAAACGGCGGGGAACAGTTTAATTGTAAGATATCATGTCACCTCAAGTAACTAATAAGAAAGCGCGCTTCCGGGTAAAAATCTAGCAATATAACAATTTCATAATCTTATTTCATCTCTTGACCATATACAATACTGACACTTAAACGATTCGCCACTTTAGAAAATACCATAATCTTTTTGTTCCCCTCAATATTTTGCACAAACATTGTTTTCTCTTGCGGAACGATTCTAAGTCCCAAGAGAAACCGAAAACAATGGTTATGCAAAATTTGGGGGGAAGAAAAAGATTATTATGGTATTTTCTAAAGTGGCGAATGCATAAGTAAACGTTTTGTTAATTTTTCCCTATACAGTAATAATTTAATACAAAACTGTTATGATAGTCAGTATTGACATAAAGCATTTTTTCATGTTATTTCGCGCATATGGGGTTAGGTATTGTTATCTGCAAAATCCACATCTTTAGTATCTATTTGTTTTATTGACGTTAAATAAATTATATTTTTCCACGGTATGTAACCAACACTATTGTGTTATCTCTTGCTCCACCTACTTATTGGACACTGTGTATCAGTCGTATGCTCTCTGGAACAATCTTTAAACCAGCTCCCACTATAGATTATCTAACAACTAAAGCGTTACAAGCCCTGCAGTGACATTTGTCAGTACAAAGTTATGAGGTAAAGAACACAATAGAAACTACAAAGTTTTGGTTTTTCGAAATGAAAAGAAGTTCAGCAGATCTACAATGTTGCTGGTACTTCCGGTGGATGTCGCCTGTGGTTGTCAAGTTCCCTCAGCAAATCTATTCGTCTTCTTGCCCCTGTTGTTTCCCTTTGTAATCCAGATGCCAAGGAAATTTCCAAGGCTTGTTGAGCAACCCCGAGTCCTGCAATGACCGTGTAAGGTTTAGTGAGGTTGATGCCGCATTTTCTGTTAATTGTTTGTCGAAGATAACTATTGCTAATTTTAAGGATTTTTCTGTGAATATCCCTTTTTTTTACTGTAGGCCGGGGGAGTCCGTTTTTCATGTATAGGTCTTGCCAGGTAAGCCAAATTACCGTGGTCTACGTATGAAGCTCTTCATTTTCAAACATTATTTGAACAATAGTGCGAAGATGAAGGAGGCAAGGCCAACAACTAACATCACTGCTGCTCAATGGCGCGAGGTGAGGAAAGTTTTTAATCCGAACAGTCAGTATGATCAAGTCAGTTTTTTAAAAGTCCTTCTACGTACGACGTATGAGGTTGGTGAAATTGCTGATGGTGATGATGCCCGCTGCCGGGTCGTGATCACAGCGATGTTGGTAGTGCTAGTGATTATGATAATGATGGTGGCCGTGGTGATATTGCTGCGATATTGGAGACGCCAGGTTACTTATTAAAACAAATGCATTGCTCTAACCTCCATCGATATCCCTTTTCCTAATACAATAATCTGTCTTTCCGAGACAGAAAGTAGTTTTCATCCACTTCGAACAGTCGGGAAACAAATTCTCGAATCTCCCGATGACGTCACTTGCACGTGTCAAGCTTTCTTGAGACACAGTAACGTTGAGATCCGGTGCCGTGTTTGGTGATGATTTGAGATATAGCGAAATTAGTCTGTTGTATACACGAGGAAGTACTCGAATTGTCGTGTTAAGCTGTTGATACATCCAATGATCTGCTGCCTTTTGAAGGAAATTCTCTGCCTCTTTCTCTTCTGTTGCAGTTATTCCTATTGTGGCTGACTTTTCCATCGTTATTGCCCCAATATTGTAAAGCGTTATTGATGTATAAGTAGACGGTTCCATTGGTTCAAATATCTGTAATCAAAAACAGGATTCAGATTTTGGAAGTAGGTTCTGAATTGTCTGCAAACGGGAAATATAAGATTCTGCCATACCATTTTTTTTTTTTTTTTTTTTTTTTTTTTGCAGGAAAAGGTAACATTGTTTAGTGGAGAGAGAATGTTGTAGTTCCATCCCCACTCTTAAAAAAAATGATGTGAGTCGACTGGCCTGCCTCGCTGACCCAGGCGCTTCTTGGGATTTTCTGCGATAGTCGCGGCGCAATGAGTAATTTCGCTTTTCACAGCTTTTCACGTTGAGCCTCGGCTTGTGCCTTTTCGTTTTTGAAGCTTTCCCATGATCCTTATGCCGCGACTACCGTCGAAAATTCGCCTGGGTACGAGGAAGTGGACCTGCAGCGGCTAACTTCCTTTTCCACTAAACACACATTTATTTATCACGAAAAGCTTTAAAGACCTCACCTCCAAGGCGTCAACAAGGTGTTCTTTTGCACCATCTTGATTGCCAGCAAATCTCTCAGCGGCAGCATACACTGCAGATGCATAGCCTCTAATAGCGCGGTCATTTACACAGCTGAAGTGCGACGATAAACGGCACGCTCGTCTGGCGAGGCTGACTCCCTCCTCTAGCCTGTGTTGAATTAAGCACGCTACACCTTCCTTACAAAAAATCACAATGAAAACGTTTTCACTCTAACCATGAGCTTGTTTCCAGCCCTTAGGACTTAGACTACTCTACACAATTGAGACTAGCGTACGTGTAGCCGCACCCTCCCCCCGACGAAGGAAAAACGGAGAGAGGCAGCTTCCTCTCTCCGTTTTTCCTTCATCGGGGGAAGGGTGCGGCTACACGTAGTCTAAATTAAGACCACCTCCCTCTCTCCCTTCCTCACCCATTCGGCCCTCCCAATCCATGACAGAGTTTGAGCGCGACAATAGGACCCGAATCAATCGAGTACTCAAGCAAACTTTCCCGTCAGTGCAAGTAAAAGATACGGAGTCGTGTTTGATAGCAGCAAAGACACAAAAGGATAAATTCGCAATCTCCCTCCCTGGGAACGAGGTTAATATACTTGGTAAAAAATTAGTCTTCTTTGACCTACCTCCAACAAAATCATAGCCACTAGATCCTGATAATGTGGTCTTGTTTTGGCCCAGTTTTCTAGTATCAATCTATGTCTTCTGTAAACCTCAAATTCACCTACAGGCATAAAAAAACTGTGACGAAATATGCTAAATTGCTATTTCTTTCTTGAAAAGTTGTGCATTGAAAGAATAACCATTTTATCCAAGCTGTAAAATTTTAACGGTCATTAACAGCACTTTAAGCCTAACAGAGTCTTAGGGAAAAAAGAAACTTAGCGGTCCATTCAAGACACAAGCTATAAGAAAAAAATTAAAGATTCGAAGGAAAAGGTTATACTTGAAATCCCAATACACAGGTCGCGCATACGTCAAGGTTGTATTGTGAGTTATCGAGGTTTCCAAACGAGTTGCCTGCCCACCTAGGACAATCTGTCTTAATCGTCCCTTCGTACAGCATCAACTCTTGGTATAATAAACATGTTTAGAACAACAAACTTCACGGTGCTTTCATTAACAAGGCCACACCTTCGGGAAGGTGGTTCAACTGTGTTTGCAAATGATGGTCATTTTTGTCCTTTATGGCTGCAATGCAATCCACTTATAATTTAACTGACAATAATATGGCATTTATCGTAAATTCTAAAAACAATGAGATTTGGACTATAATTAAGAGACTAACAGAGTGCTGGTCACCCAACTAAGAAAACTCTATACCTGTTTTCTACTGCATTTAATTATTTTATATATATTTACCATTGTCTGCCAAGTTCTCAAAGTGCATTATGACATTCCAACCAAAGTTAAACCGCAGCACTCCTGAAAGCGACGTTTTATAAAATTGAAAAACTCACAAAAAAGCAACGAAAGTACATGTAAATTAAGGGCAAAAAAACTATCAGAGCAGTTACTAAATAAGATTGACACAAACTTTATGATTTGTGCGAGCGTATGAGATGCCCCTAAGCTAAATGACATCTTGTTTAAGAAGTAAAAGCATCTTTTGCGCCATTTAAACGAGAATTTGGCATCTCATTTGAGACGCCTCCAATGAGGTTTAAATAAAGATGTGTGAAGTATGTTTGGGTGATGTATGTGACTGTGTGGTCTATGAACAATCGCGCTAGAAAAAAAGCGCAGAGTTAACTGAACTACTATCCTGGACAAAAAAAGATGGAAAATTTAAGCCCGTGCATCCCCCCAAATGAAAGATGGGAAAATGGCAAGTTTTGTCTTTCGCGCGGTTTCATCCTTGATTTCGTGGGCGGGATGAGGTGACTTTTTCAGGCTGTTCCATTTTATTCAGTCCAAGATTGCAATCGCTATATCTTGAACAAAGTAGATGGACAGTTTAGAACCGCCCTCCTCCCTCCCTCGGGGGGATGGGGGGTTGCTGTTCCATTTTATTGTGTCCAAAATTCTTGATGCAAAGCTGATACCTCTTTACCTGTAAGTTTTATTTTCGGCAGAGGGTATTCCACTTCAAACAGATTTTCACTTTGTTGTAACCAAGAAACGCTCGCCTCCAGGAGATTTATTCTAATGGTGAGCACAATCTCATGACACAAAATGGCACCATCCTCCTTTGTAAGCTGTACTGTCGCATTGTAAATCATAGGAATATCGAGAGGTAAAAGGAAGGCAAACATACGAGCATACGAAGGAAGCCGATTTCCTCCGCCATCTGTCGCAAAGTTGCTAACAACAGCATTTCTTCGTGGATATACTGTCACGATCATCTTGTACTGTCCGTCATTCTGTGGAGATAGGGGAGAAATGTCATTCCTTTTGAAAACAAACGTCCTTAACAATTAATCGGCTCCTTAACAGTGTGTTAAAAGTCAAATTAAAACGCAAGCATGTTTTTTATTTATTTCCTTTGATTTTGAGGGTGAAACAGAACTTTAATAAATTAAAGGGGGACTTTTTGTGAAATCTTTAAGATAAGGCTACGTTTGACAGGCTTGTCATTGAGTGGTGTTTAAGTCACAGACTCAGATTCATGGCAAATTAATATTGTTCTTTGACAGTACGGTTGGTTAGCTGCTTAATGTAGTTTTACTATTCAGTAGCTTTAAAAAGGATAACCCGAGTGCAGCTGTATCATAAAGAAGAAGGAAGAAGCGACATAGTGTGATATGTTTTAAATTACAAAGAAAAAGGTGGAAAGTTAGTTAACGTTCAAGATAGCAAAAATTATGTAACATATGATAAAAAGGTAGATCTTTACGATACCCGCGAAATATGCAAAATCAGATCCCAAGAAAATTTCGTTTTACATGACATTCAACACTGTTTTGAATAGACAGACGAATAGACATGCAAACACGTGACGTCATGAAGTAAACTAATCTTCGCACACGTTTACACGACATGGGACGAATTTCACACATTTGAAAATTCGTTTTAGCTCACACGATGGAACCAGGAACCACCTAGACTTTCTCAAAGCCCGTTTCTGGTTTCTGCTGGTTAGGTGTCAGTCGGGAAACTATCAAGGTCGGTACACACTAGGCGACAAGTTGCAGCAACATGTCGCGGCGACACGTTGCAGGGACAAATCGCTTCGTGTGTACTGGAGAATTTTTGTGAAGATCTTGGTCGCTGCAACAGAATTTGTCGCCGCAACAAGTCGCACAGATTCAGTCTGATTTGATTTTTTGCGACTTGTTGCAGCGACAAAATTCTGTTGCGGAGACAAAGATTTTCACAAAAATTCTCCAGTACACACGAAGCGATTTGTCGCTGCGACGTGTCGCCTCACTTTGTTGCTGCAACTAGTCGCCCGACCTGTACACATGGAGTGATCTGTCGCCGCGACGTGTTGCAGCAACTTGTCGCCTAGTGTGTACCGACCTTCAAGCTTACGTCACAAACCATTTTTTCGCGCCAACATTATGCAAATTAAATTCAATCTTCTCCGCAGACGGATCAAGTCGACTCGCAACTTACGCCCTTCACATAAGCCCGGTTGACTGGGCTGGCCCGGTTAAAGGGATGAATTTCGCCTCGGGTTCATAAGAGAAATGTCAGTCCGGTTTCCGAGATGAGAAAAGGCCAAAGATTCTGGGGACGAGTTTTGCCGCCACATTCGAGAAACAAAGCAAACATTGCGAAATACAAAAATTTTAACTTTCGGGCTTAGTAACGCTTAAGGCTGTATCGCTGCAGTTAAATGGGATGCTTATGATGTGGAAAAGACAGCAGGCAATGCAAGACGATGCCATCAGGACCGCCAGAATTCATCCCGGTAACCGGAATGAAGTGTTCATAAGGCAAATTTTCCAGACCGCTTACCGAGATCTCGGGAACCGAGCGAGCCCGCCCTCTCATATGAACACATCGCAAATTTTACAAAGGATTTAGAGGCAAGGTGAGATCTCGAAAACCGGGCCAGCCCGGTCAACCGAGCTCATATGAAGAGGCCTTTACGCTCGCAGTCGACTTGTGGCAAGGACCCCATACTAAAACAACTGGAAGACTGACATGTCATTGTTTCCTGCGACTAATTAGGAGAGTCCTTACAAGCAGCTCCTACACTGCTTTGTGGCAAGTCTAGGAAATATTAAACGGTCCCGTGTGAACAAACTGTCCCGTCAAATTTTTCAGCCGGTTGAAAATTCGTCCGGTGCCTTGTGAACGTGTGCTTAGCTTAAAACTTACAACAACAAGCTCATTGGCATTTGAGGATGTTATATCACAAATCCATATCTCCTTGCTTTGTCTAGAGTAAAGAGCTACAACACAGCAAACAGCTACCGCCCGTGGCTGTCCATCAGCTCTGTACTGCTCCCACGGTGTGGACATTCCTGGTTCAAATGCCATCGTTTGCTGAGTTCTGTATTGGTTTTGTTCTAACACTATAATCGTAATGTCTTCCTCACATATTCTGTGTGTTGTTGGAAGGTTCCCTGGCAAGGGAGAGAGACGAAGAGTATTATATACATATAATTTGCTATTGCGTTTCTGTGGATTTCTAAGTTTTCCTGTACAGTAACAGCAAAAGTAGTAAGACTGGTAATCCTCAAGTAAAACCTTTATCTCTGGACAATAAAACTAAAGAAAAAGAGCTTTTGGATACAACTCCAACATGAAAAGTACGTAACCACGCCCAGACTGCGAATACAGCCAAACATTCAGAGTGATATTAACGGTCAAAACGTTTCAAGGTATTTTAAAGCTCACTCTTTCAACCGATATTTGCGGACTTTTAGCAAATGAAAAATCTCTGCACTGGAAAAACCACGGGCCAAGTTCTCAAAAACACTCTCTCTGAACATTACTTTACCTTACAAGTTTCTTATATCTTGATATTTCGAAATTTAATTTGTGAATAAAGGCCAACCAACATCCAAAACACAATAGTTAATATTAATTTATACAGAATTTAACATTTACTTTATTTCTTGGACTAAATTTTCCCTAAATAAGCGTGAAAAGCCCTAAAATAGCCGTCAACCGTCAAAATTGGAAAAAAAATAACGGCCAACCATCAAAGCTAGCACCCCATTGACGCCCTCTTCTCTCCTTGTTCCTACACGGCGACAAAACATGACACATGACTCTCACTTTTTAACTTTTATGAAAAGATTTACTTTCAAATCTGTATTCTCGGGAACAATTTGTAGCCGCCGTAATGTTCCTCTATATTTCTTCTATAAAGTACAAAAAATCGGATATCAAAAACATGATAACAACCGCCACAGAAACGGAGGGTGCTCTGCCTGTGATCATCTGAGGTATTCATGGCGGTCGAAAGTCTTGGCAAATGTTTATGCGCTCTACAAGTAGCATTTTCCGACTATTCCGGCAATCATTGTCGCCTAATCTCCAAACTTGTAATAAAAAAACCTACCCATGATATGCAGGTTTGCGAAGCACAAACGGTTACACTGTAGTTTTCCGCTCGAAAATTCTTGTACTAATTTCAAACTCTGGGAATGATGTCATTCACCAAGTTAAACAGAGACAATGGGTTTTCCCCGAAAAAAAATTAAACTTGCCTGAAATCGAAAGTGCTTGATTTTAAAATTCTGAAACCAGCATAATATTAATATTTTGATTCGATGTGGTTTCAGTGGTATTTTTTACTTGAAAGTCTCTCTTAAGACTGTTTGAAACACTTAAAGTCCGACATAAATGATAAAATATCAAATTTATGGGAGCTTTTCTAAGAAAACACCAAGAGACTTACAACAATGGCGCCATTTTAACTAGTATTTTTAACCATGAATTCGCTATCAATAGTGCTGCGAACTTATAAGAAATATGTTTAACGACTGAGCAGCATATGAGCAGAAATAATTTTAAGTAGAAGCCTTACCTGCGTTGTTGTGGTTCCTTAACGCCATTTGTATTCCATGATATCCTAAACCTATTCTTGAAAGGTCGCGTCTGTCAGATGGACTTCGTTGATTCCTACAACGATCGGCTTTAACCGTTCTTTTTAGTCAGAAATGAATTCGGTTTTCGTTTCTGTTCGGCAAGATCAGCATGGAAATGTACTATTTAAGGGTAAATACTTTGCTTTTTGGAGAACTGAAAACACATGACTTATTATCGCTGAAGCGATTATGTCTTTGGCCGCGAGCCACCTGGACCCAATGTCACGCGAAATTTGCAATTCTTATTGCATTTTATTAAGCCAAAAATGCGTCTTCGAAGATCGCTTTATCACCCTGAATATAGAGAAAAATTAATGGAGGGTATGGAATGCCATTGGCACGATGAAGTGGTTTTTACCGCTTCTGCCAGAATCCTTCTAAGGGCCGGGTTGTTCAACGCTGGGTTAAGATAACCCAGGGTAAGTGCGAAATTTGAAATCAGATATCAAAGCTTAAAAAGCAAATTCAGTTAAATTCTTTTTTGTCCACAATTTGATGATTGTCCACTCTAAAAGAATAGAGAAACTTGCTAAAGAAAATACTTTTGATGAAAAGGAAAAGAGACGCGGGGAAAAATTTAACCCTGGGTTAGCGCTAATCGGCCTTCGAACAACTGGGCCCAGCAACAACTTTCAGTTCTTTATTCATCAGAAGTGTTCGTCAATTTATAATGCTCTGAGGTTCCCAGGTTAATATCGTCGGGTTTGTTCCAAGAGATTGAGTTGCAGTGGTATTTACCTGTTTTTCAAAACGTATCAGAAGAAAATTCTCCAACGGAAATGTTAGCGCTCTATAACCCAAGTAAGAGAAAGCGCTGTGCAAATTGTTGAACGAGTAGGAGAGAACCCTGGGAACGAGGTGCCATCACAGCCTCCTCGGTATATGGGCCTCTGCACACTGACCTTGGCTGGCACGTCTCAATAATTTGACTTGTTTTACTTGTTGGTTTAAACCTAGCTAGGGATCACCAGATTTAAGGATGAAAAAAAAACGAAATGGATTCTACAAATAGGGGAGAGAGAAAAACAGAAAGAGAAGATGTTCGTTTGTGTTACACGACACTGACCCAAGAAAAATATGGTTAGGTTCCGTCACGGAACGGTCAACGCCGACGCGCCAAACACAGAATCGCGACATTGTTGCGTCATTGTTTCAGATGGTTGCTACATTGTTCCAACATTATAACATGTGTTGCGCTCAAATCGTCGTTGCAAATCGTATCGTGTTTTCAAATTCACCTTTAGGGTATCAATGAATCGAAAATAGAGGACCTTGTAAAAACGTAATCCCGTTTACAGGCCTAATATTTTTTTCAAATTATCTCCTTACGCAGAATTCAGAAATAATCATGATTCTATGTGTATGCCTGCGCATATACTATTACTTTTGAAAAAAATATATAAACCTTGCAAAGAAAAGACAACAGAGATATTTGGCTGTAACCTTAAACGCGGTCAGACGAGCGAAATGTTTTTTTAAAAAAAAGCTAAGCAAAGTACTTCAAAGCTAACTAAAGGTTGGTACTATCACTATTTATTGTTTAATATAATAACCAGTGCGCTATTACTTTACTAAACTTTGTGAAAGTTCAGGAAATTCTGAGTGTCTGAAAACTAAAAGTGGTGTTTAAAACTGTCGGCACCATTTTGTCAATATCATTTTACTCGCAAAAGTAGTTCAGTCATTATTTTGAGAAAAATGCTAAGATAGTTACACCAACTTATTGCTTTAAACATCCTTGGCCATGTTTTCTTTTAGTGTGGCATGAATCCTCACTTCAGTATAAGCAAACGCTGCCACAGATGTTAAGACCCGTGATAAAAACGTCCAAATTTGCAAGATGTCTGTCATAGTTAAGGTAACCATAGTAATCTTTATGACTTCCACTTTTTACAACGGGCCTGTGTTTGATAACAGATCGAGTGCAATTTCTGAGTGGACAATCTTCCCGAAAAATACATGAGTTTGTTGTAAAGCCTTTCATCAACAGCCAGCATCCCTCTGTTCACGTTAAACGGCATACCATTGTGATGCTAATGAAAAAAAAACTTCCCGGAAAGGTGATGCAAGAAGCAAGTAAACAAAACAAATTATTCCTGCAAAGGTCGAAATGCCCCTGAGCAAGAAACTCGTAAGGCGTTCGAATGAGCTTCTAGAAAGCATCCATTCGTGGTCTAAGAAGAGAGTGGAAACTGTTCAAGTTTTGCGAGGACTGGCCGATGAGCTTATGGGACATGATAAAAATGTCCACGTCGCTAAAGTTTCTGGATCGTCGTTCTCCATCGCTGGGTTTGTTTTAATGGCAACTGGTTTTGGCCTTGCTCCTGTTACTTTGGGAACTTCTACGATCCTCTCAGCTGTTGGTGGAGCAATGTGCGCTGCGGGTGGAGCAACTGCTGCTGGTTCAAGCCTCGTCGGAAGTAAAATTTTCAAAACAAAGCTTGCCAAGGTACAGGAAATTATTGAAACCGATCGCCAAGCACAGGAGCCTGTGGAAAAGCTTTTAAACGAGCTCCATCGTGAAGTGTCTGAATTGTCTCGCGGAATTGCCCTGGATTGTCTTAGTTACCACAAAAACTTAGCTGTCTTGATAAAAAACCTGGTGGATGTGGGTAAATGTGCGAAAGCCGGCGGGAGGGCAGCTGCAACAGCAACGGGTGAAGGTGTTGAAGCAGTTTTGAGGTCCATTGGAATAGCAGGCAACGCTGCTCGCATTGGTGGGTTCGCTATAAGTGCAGTATTTTTGCCTGTTGATATCTATACTTTAGTTACATCAGCGATGAAGCTTAACTCTCATGGCAAAGAGGAACCACAAGCTGTAAAGAAGCTTAGAGATCTGGCAGATAAATTGGAAAGAGAAATGATCGAGATGCTTAAAGCTGTACGCGATTTCAAGGGTACTCCTTAGAACACTTAAAAAACGAAGACAAGAACCTTGCGAGGTAGTATTGTGAGTCTAATTTTATGAACATGAATCCTGATTTTTTTTAGCCCACTTTCAGTCAAACGGATTTAATTTGCTAGATTAATCCATGCTTTAAATCAAAATAAAAAGAGATCATTAGGCGATGGTCTAAGACCACTGAATTTAACAGCTTACAAAATCGGTGTTTCTACATCGATTAAAACCAAACTTTAAACTGTAGAATGTATGTGGAAGCCATTTAATAAAGTTTGATTGATTGATTGTAATGTGCATGCTATGATATGACTGGGAGACGATAATGTTCTTTGGCTTTAGCATTTTTCCCCAGTGTTGAGTTAAGTTTTCTTCAATGGCACTAGAGTTACTTCACCCCACCTACTTTATTTACACTGGTGGAACAGCATAGTTTCTGATCTACCTGATTATTGGATAGTCGATGGTAGAATAACAGCCAGGCGTATGCATTATTTACTTTGACTGAAAAATTTAGGTAGTCATGGTAAAGGTTTCAAAGTTTATTGTCTAAAAGAAAAAAACGTTACTCCACCGCAAAAGGTTTAAAAATATTCAAAGTATTTGAGTGGAATCTCCATGTAAAGAACCTCCATTTAACGAAGTCCTTGGTATAACGAACGATTTTCTTTACCCCAGTAATAGCAAAATTTATGGAAATGATCATCGATATAACGAATCTCGTTATAGCGAACACGTTTTGCCAGTCCCTTGGCCCTTTGTTATATTGAGGTTCCACTGTATTTGTGGGCAGAACGTGACACTTAGTAAACGATGAACTGGGACACTGACTTGAAACATAAATTTCTACCTTATAAATGTTGGGCGTAATGTCTGTAATACGATATTCTGGATTCGGACACTAATGAATGGCACTGAAATATTTTAAAGTGGATTGTGCCTAACATTTGTACTGACACGGATTTCATTTTTATTCAAATAAACACATAATAAGACTTGGTAAAAATGGCAAAAAAGGTAACTATGGGAAACTGCCCACCTAGCCCTCCCCTAAGTCAACATTAACACTTACTTCTCACTTAGGGCAAAATGTTGGCTTAGGGGAGGGGTAGGTGGGCACTTTCCCAGAAACTTATAATGATCCACTATTTGGATATGGCAAAACAGTATTACTGATAAGTTTGTCATGACTGGATCATGAAGACTGAATCAATAACTCGCAACAACTGCCCAGCTGTGCTGAAAAGTGGCCAAAACGATATACAGTCCACGGTGCTTAATTAGGGACAGGGGGAACCCAACGATCGAAACTTTCCAAACAAGTCCAAAATGTCTAAAATACATTTCTCGATGCTTTAGCCTGTTTCGTTAATTTGGAGCTGTCCTAAAAACTATCTATCTGTTCGGATGTTTTAGGGGAGCTTTGGCCGTCTCGAAAGTTTCAGCGATCCCGAAAGGTCTTGTCGAAACTTTGAGGACACGGAGTGACCAGTACTTTCGTTAGAAAATTTTAGGGGACAATTTTTGTTGATACCGCATTTTCAATTGACCTTTAAACCAATAATCGCAAATTGTCAAAAATCCGCTTCCGAAAATCGCAGAAGAGTTAATAGAAAAACTCCGAATATTGTATATGAATTAAACGGTTATCCAGAAATTTTTAGCCTTTCTTGTGCTATAAAAATTTTAAGGCAATATTTGCTCCTTAGTGCCGATTGTAGGAACTTGGCGATTATGGTTCATTCCGGTCTTTCTTTTATGCATTAAACATTTAATAAAATGTAGTGAGGCACGATGAGACCGTCATCCTCTCCTGCTTTTGATATACCAGTGTATTTCAAATTAATAAAAAGACGATCAGAGATAATTTCGTCAAGGCAGCGTCCCTTGAACTTAAGCCTCAAGTTTCGATCATAACTAGAAAACAGTTTCTTAACAACATCGGAATCCTCGTAGTCATTGCTGCAAAAAGAAATACGATGGTTAACTGGGGATAAATGCACATTATTCTACGTGTTGCGTATTTATCTGTAGTATCTGCAAAACAGTGAGTAATAGGTTACAAAATGGCTACAAATGTATATTTATCTCCCAGACCATCGACTTACGAAATTATTATTAAACGGGATTTCCCAGATTTTTGCTGTTAAGTGGCAGAAGGTTTTTTACACTTCAACAATTAAAATCAGTTTGACTTTAATTTACAGCTCTTCCGCCTGGTGTTTGTTCTTTTTCAAAGGTAGCGCTTCAAAGTAAGCTGTGGTAATTTGCAATCTACAGTATTTTCTTTTTTTTTTTTCATTGTCCTTTTTCCTCAAACGCAAGGAGGCGAGGGCGTAAAAGTGAGGAAAACCTGTAAAACGTTACTCATATTATTTGAAGATATTTATCTAGTCCTTCATTTATAATCACGTTGCACAAAATAATTTCAAACTATTCCTGCGTATATTTTACTTACGGTTCTTCCGATGAGATAACCGCGCAAAAGAGACCACCAAGGATGAATACAGACTTCCAGATATCATACATATCGCCTGAAGAAAAAAAAATACCGACTCATTATGAGTTTAAATATTCTATGTCATTCTAGGTAAAATTAACATTAGGATTGTAAGGAAACCTGCAAGTCAAGCGTAATGCAGGGGCGGATCCAGGATTTTTTTTAGGAGGGGGTGCACTCGTCTCTTGCTCTACTTCAACACCAATAAACCACATAGTCTTTTTTTTTTTTGCAGAATACCAGTTGTATCAGAAAACCGCAGGTCATCTCAGGGGGGGTGCGCACCCCCTGCCCCCCCCCTAGATCGGCCCCTGTAATGTTTTATCCTACAATACACTAATATATATATGTTTTTGGCCAATCAGAGGCAGGATATTCAAATGTTTCTGGGACTGGTTTGGTAAGAGTGACTGTCCGCCTCTCCAGTTCCACCGATCGTGTAAACTTACCTGCAGTAACATCACTCGTGAAGAGGTCCTTACAATAAGCTGCTCCTGGATGTCTGAGGATTGAATTCCCTACAATTTAACTAACGTTTAACACTCTCAACAATACCTCACCGACTAATCAAGTCTTTGACAATGACACAACTTATTGCCCTGGAATGAAAAATAATAAAAAAGAGAGCTCAGCCAAATAAAGAACCATACTAACAAAATAACCGTAATGAGGTGTTTTCGTGCATGTTTGTAATTTCTACTGTTGGTGGTCCGAGGGCATTTTTTCCAAAAAAAAGCCCCCGGAGGTTTACATCCGTTTTTTCCTACGTTAAAAAAAAATAAACGAAAAATAAAAAACGAATAAAAAGCAACGAGTGACGAAATAAAGTCAGTTACCCTACATTACTTTACCAATGAAAGACTCACTGGAAACTTTTTATCATAAACTCCGATAAAAGCAAGTTATGTTTCTCACCTCAATTCCTTTCCATTGCATGTAGATCGACATATTTTCCTCCTTTTATTCAAGAGGTTTCTCAAACAGTTGCCAGATGAAAATCACAAAACACGAATTAAAATAACTAGTGCAAACCAGCCTAGCTGGCCATTTTGAAATGATACTTTCAAGCCATCAGTCAGTTATTGTCAGAAATAATTATTTCTAGTTTTGCAACATTTCTACTTGATGGTGTGACCTTTCAGTTGATGACCAAAAGTGTGAATTTAATTCCTTACCTTAAATTAAAGAGCTCTCCAAACGGTTAAAGTTGATAACAATATAAAATAGGTCTTCTTTTTTTTCGGTTTACACATCAAACACTTTTTTCGCAGGTATTAAATTTTTAATCTGTTTTAGGGCAAAAAGAAAATGATTGTCTCGAGCCGTAGCTACTGCTTTGCATTACAATTTATACCCATTATATCGCTAATTTACACAACGAAAACCATACATGCAGAATTTTCGTTAAAATCTTTTTAGGAAGACGTAAAAATCAACAATCAAAGCCGAAATGATTTTATTCGGTGGAAACCTTAAGCCAATCATTAGGCCCCTGCGACATTTTAGTGATGGACATGCATGAAAAACTCAATCTTAAAATTCACATATACTAAAACATTAACAAACTTTAAAGGATTAGTTACCGACCTACAGAACATTCAAAGTTTAATTTTCGGCTCAATTACATCATTAAATTTAACCAGATCTAGTCGTTAACGAGTTTGGGGGGCAGACTCGTTAAGTAAATATAGTACTTGAGTAAATAAATGAGCTTTGAAATAAATGCCATGGTCTCAGAACAAGTTCTTTTTCTTGGTAGATCTGAATATTCAATGCCAATAGTTATCTGACTTTGAAGTCTCAGACTTGAAGAAAGAAGCCTTAATATAACATCTCTTTCCAGAAATGTTTCCAAGTACAAACCAATAGGCAAACGTATCTTAACAGCCACACCACCCATCCCACACCTCCCCCACAAGTACATACACACCACTTGCACAAGTATTCGTTTTTATCTCTTCATGCCAGATTTATTGCAATTAGAGGTGAGCTTGTAGTACAATAAGATCTAATTAGCTTCCAAGCATCGTCAGTCTAAGTCTAGGACTTAAACTTTTTATAATACGATGTACGTGTATTAGAAATTTATTTAGATTTTCAACATTATCTTAAGCCTTTTTTTAAACACCTTTTTTTTACATTTACATTCATTTTTTCGAAATACTGCAACGTTCCTCATATGATTTTTAAAAATTGTCTACCTTAAACTATCTATCAAGTATCTAACTGAAAAATAGCAAAATAGCTGGCCTATTAACACAGTCTCCCCGCCCCCCAACCCCCTATCGTGATATCATACTTTGACCTTAACATTGCGACTTGAAAAAACGTTTTCTAGTTTTTGGAGTCAATCGGACAAATAATGAGACCAATAAAGCACGTTAAACAAAGTAAAAGAAAATGGAAACAAGAACCGGCAAGTGTAATCAACGATTTTTCCGTAGTTACATGAAGAGCATCGTCTAAAACCTTTCTGAGCACGCGGAGGAGATACGTCAATCATCTCATCCTCTGCATCGCCCTGAGCTGGTTCGCCATTGCTTGCGTTAGTACTCTCGCGTTGTTCCAGAGCGATGTTTTCCACTCTTGGCGCATTATCCTGAAAGTCATAATTAAAGACGGCAAAACCTGTGTGACAAGCGTGACAGTAATTTGGTTTGAGATAACTTTTCGCCAAACTTCACTTTCCTTTAAACAGATCTTTTCGTTAAAGACCAGAAAATATTAATTTTAAATGAAGAGCTCGACAAAACACGGAAGTAATAGCCCTGTCACGTTTGTCACACACAAACGTTTTGCCGTCCTGTTCCGCAAACTCACTAATATTAATCTTTTAAAGTTAACCCTATTTATACCGGGCAGTTCTTTTACGCCTTTATGAAAACATAATTATGGGACAAAGATGGAAACGCCCAGACTTGCCCTTAGGATATATGAGTTTTTAGACCAATCAAATGCTTCAAATAAAAAGGAAGTTGATTTCCGGAGAGGTCCGCAAACTTCTATTTAGTGTTGTCAAGAGAGAATAGAATAGTCGCCATTACAATATTCTGCATTGTTTGCTTTGAGGCAGTCGCGCGTGGACTTTATGACGTTTCAAACAATCAACTGCCCACCTACCCCTCCCTTAAGCCATCATTATCACTTAGTTCTCACTTAAGGCAAAAAGTTGGCTTAGGGGAGGGGTAGGTAGGCAGTTTTCCAGAAACCTAAATTGATCCAAATGTTCGACGTCTCTGCAGAATAAGACTTCCGCTTAATTAAAAATTCTAAAAAGAAACTTTAGTGAACATTTCCTGGCCAACTCCCTAAGATTTCCTCCATTATACTCTCTTGCTTTTATCGGATCATTTTACCTTTCAGGGAAACTGCCCACCTACCCCTTCCTTAAGCCAACATTAATACTTACTTCTACTTATGGCAAAATGTTGGCTTAGGGCAGGGGTAGGTGGGCAGTTTCCTAGAAAGGTAAAATGATCCCTTTTTTCTTGGGGTGGGCTGAGGAGTGGGGAGGGTCCGAAGCCTACCCCTACTCTCAAGAAGCCAAAGAAAAAAGCTGGGTCTAGACATCGCGTTGCTAAACACGCAAGCAATTTTACTGAATTTTTGCCCATTAGGGAGTTGTTGCGGCACTCTTTTGTTTAATTTTCTTATGAATATGGGTGAGTGAAAGAACCCCTTAGACTTGAGACTAGTTTAACTTTTAGCTCAGTTGTTTTTGTATTATTGATAGTGCTTAACCCTTTAAGCCCTAAGAGTCCTTGTAATATCAATGCTCAGTAAAACAGAATGGTCATGAGAATTACGGACTTGATCACACAAGGTGGATAGGCCACTTGCACTAAGAGGTCACGTGACCAATGCTTCCTTTAGACAATGAGTTAGAATCTTGCTGATGCCAAAAATTGACAGAGCACGTAAAAATTATCCTACACCCGAAATTTAAGAGGAAACGCATTTAAGGCAAATATTTTATGGCACTTTCATTTTTCAACAAAGTAGTATGATTCGTATTGGCCTCCAACATGGCGGCCAACACTACTTTTTGCTTACATCTTGTTAAACGTTTGATAGTTATCCTCAGATGTGTTGTAAACGTTACCACATCATCTTCTCAACATTTTCCTTGAAATTTAAGTGCAAAATTTGTGTTCAGAAAGAGGTAATTCATAATTTTAAAAATCACATTTTGGTCACGTGACCATTTACGAACTTACTCATTTTAAGAAAATGGTGCGGGTTTGAAAAACCAAATCACTATTATTTTGTTTAACATATGACCCACAAATCGTTTTCGAAGGCAAAATCATATAACTTTCATTTTCATAAAAACTATGTCACATGACCTCTTAGTGCAAATGGCCTATTTGCTTGATATTTTATCACCTTCTCCCAAATACTTCTGTAGGAAATGAATAGGGGTAACAAATGAGAATTCAAATTTTGATCTTAGGGTTTAAAGGGTTAATGAAGGGGCTTCCCAGTTTGTCTGTAAATAGCAGCTGCAAGACCATCATTGAATTTAATTTCAACAACAATTCGTTATGCCCACCTGAAGATTATTTATGGTGTTCATTTCCAAATCCAGGTCTTTCCGTTGCACGCTCTTCTTGGAATCTCGATTTCTTGGACGCAAAATGTACACCAGGATGCACTCCACCAAAACCAGGAAGACAAACAGAAAAGACCCGATGAGGTACCAGTCAATGGCCTTGGGATAACTAACACGAGGTAGCGACATGTTTACAGAGCCCAACAGAAACATGATAGTCAGTACGGTTGTGATAGCCAGGCCAACTCTATCACCCGTGTCTCTTGGGTCCATCCAGAACACTATCCAACTCATCACAACCACAAGAGTGTCAGGGAAAAATACTTGGATGATGTAATAACCAAGGCGTCGTTTAAAGTAAAAGCTGATGATAAGTACGCTGTAATTCCCTATGGATTTGAGGAACACTTAACACTTGGTGAAATGAACGAGACCCTGCTTTAGGCTGCGTGCAAACGGACGAACGGGGATTTATAGTTCATTTATATGAGCTTACTGTAACCTACCCATAGCCAATAATATGAATGATGCGTGATGCTTGAAAGGAAGACCACATAGTGTGGGTTCTTTTACGTTCTCTTCGATTTGACTAATGAAAGAAGGATGAAGGAAAGAAGGCCAACAGCTTAATGTCATCGCCCAAAGACGCGATCATCTTAAAATCATAGCCAGCTTGATCTCACCAGTTTTTTTAAATACCCTGGGTTTTTTTAACACCCTGGGGTCAATTTAATAAAACTTTTTTACGTGTAATTTACAAGTGTAGCCATTGTTTTGGAGTCTGAGAACAGTAGCTACACTTTTAAATCACACGTGTAAAAGTTTTACTAAATTGACCCCTGGTTGTTGATCCGGCCGGGGTTTGAACCCACAACCTCCCGATCGACCGACAGTTGTTCTAACAACTGAGCTAAGCGGGCAGCGGTTGACACCGCAGGCTAAAGTTATGGAATAGGATCATTAGAAAAGAATTTTAAATTGTAGGTACATTTATCACTAACCACCGGCATAAAGTATAGTGGTTGAGTTCAGTTCCACTTCATTCATGTCAAATTGAGCGATGCTCTTCTTTTCCACTTCCCCCGCGCCGTCTTTCCATCTGTAAATCACGTTGTCTTTTTCATAGCCATCTAAAGAAAAGTAAATTCCCAATACACTGCTGTATCAATACTCTCGATGTGTCAACCATTAATTTCACACAGTTCAATTGCATCATGTGCACTTACATTGGCGGAAAGTGGATTGGCAAAATACCACCAACGGATAAGAGGGCAGCTACGACAAAATGGGTACAATTTTTCCAAGACTGTTTGTTTTTAAAACAGCCACCCTACAAACATCCAACTAATGCCAAAATCGTCTCTTGAAGAAATATTTTTTCATTAAAATCAAGGGTACTTAAAATATTTTAAATTAAATTCCAACAAACAAACCGAGACATTCACTGTCTGTTGTACACTACGCCAGGCATACACAAACTACCTACAGAAAATTTATTTCAAAATAAGCCACTTATTAACAAATTCGGATGTTCACTGGTTTTCTTAAACTGCGGTCTAAGTTAGACTTTGTGGAGTAAAAAACGCCTACTTACAACTCGCTAAATACAAACTGCATTTTTGAGTGTCCATTGGAAAGTGCTCCAATCTCATGTCGCAAGCGGCAACGATCTTGTAACTGAAATATACGGAAACAAGTTAGTTCAAGGTCATCTAGACTGACACACCAACCCCCATCCTAGGCTCGGAGTGAGAGCTCAATTCCCGAACAGCGGCTGGTAATCAAGCCTACCACCCGTCGCTCGGACGTCATTTCGATTGTTGAGATCACTTCTTGCGTACGTATGAAAACAATGATTCTTTTCAATATCGGCAAATACTGGCTTAAGAAACCCAATATGGCACTCACCCCACTAATCCACAAAGGAATTAAAACCAACCTTCTCGAATAAAAAATAGTTCCATTCGGATGTATCTCGAATACACTCCCTACATCTGAGTTCTCGGCCATAAGGTTTGATTCTCTCGTGTTAGTGACGTAGGTGTCAGGGATCCACGCACCCTCAATTATCGAACCTTTAAGACGAAGAGTCTCACTGAATTTGCCAGCAAATCGCTTGTCAGTCCAGTAATGGCGACTGTAGCCAAACACTGTGTACTCCTGTTAAAACGAAGAGACAGACAAATATGAAAATGGACTGCTATAGAGAATAATTATAATGAACATGATGATGATGTTGACCATCAATATCATTATCGTTATCGTTATAACTGTCATTGTCTTTGTAATTAATATTTTTTATTGTTACTATTATTATTACTATTATTATTATTGTAAAGAATTAGCACTATCCATATTTCACAGCACGAACTGACTCGATTAAATCTAAATTCCAAATTTCGTGCTTCTTGAAGAATCATGCACTCTTGCTATCTTATCAAAGACCTTGGATGCTAAACTCAAGTGATTTACCGTATGAAAAAGAGCTGTATATAAACATACATGGTGAGGCTTACATCACTAGAAAAGTGAATTCATATCCAAAAATTGATATCACGTGACTTACCATGTTGGCTTCAGCAATGTTAGCAAATGATTCAACGTACAGATCAAGTTCCACTGTGAGTGGAGCAACTGTAACGCAAACATGTTCAGTTATGATTAGGTAGACCCTCCGGGGTATAGAGGTACAGTAGGGACCTTTAGCATCCGGTTTTTCATGGGAAACTGCAAGCCGCAAACCGCAAAAGTCACGTGACCACGGCTTTGCGGTCACGTTGGCAGTTTGCAGTTCACGTTTGAACCGCAGGAAGAGCTTCCAGCGGTCGGTGATTTATGGCAAGGTTTTTTTGCCACAAAAAATTGTACAGCCTCGCGTTTAAAGGTATGAACAAGCCTTTTATATCCGTTTGCGATGTGTTTGCTGGATTTTTGATCTCGAGTCAATGAATTATTGCTGATTTTTGGGCGACTGTAAACTGATGCACTTCGATTTGATGACAACAACATGGCGGACCCAAAACAATGAACGCCTAGTTCAAATTAATTTTATATTCCTTTCTGCCGTACTAACAAAGGAAAGTATTTTGTTCCAATCCAGAGTTAATTTTTTTTCTATCTTGTTACTGAATCCAAATCTTAACTCAGTCTCTGTTTAGTTCCTATTTTTAACGTATCACTCCGCGAATTTCATTTTATTTTGCTTATTTCTTTGAGACTGGGGAGCCCAGGCTTCATAAAGCCTTTTGGTTTCTTCTTGGCTCCCTTCCAAACTTACAATTCCTATTCTCGGCTTGCACTGTCACGCAATGAAAAATAAAAATGCAAACCATTCAATACAGAAGGACTAGAATCTGGGAAATGAAAAAAGATAAATATACAAAAACTCTTGCCAAGAATCAGGTCTGTGAAACATTTCAAATGCGAGATATTGGGAAAAACGGTTTACCAAAATTTTTAAAGCTTTGTATGGAAACGCCATCTTGGTGTCCCTTTCAGGAACACCAATATGGCTGCCGGATACCAACAGAAACATCTGTTTTCGAGTTTTCCTACTAACGCGTGAATTCTTCGCTTGAGGAACTCATAAAGATTACAGTAATATTTATTCTGAGACAAGGAATGTTTAGATTGCAAAATCTCCCAAAATCGGTAATGTTTTTAACCCACATAAGAGCTTTCCCGGCCGCCAGCTAAATGCCGCGTCACGCAAAAGCCTGGAAATTCAAGCGTCCTCTCTCGCAAAACGAAGAACCCTTTCGAACCAAAAATTTGTTTATGTAAAGGTGTTTAGGTACTGTAATAGCCCGTGAAAGTAGAAACTCAGAAGAATCGATAGTTTCTGAGTTTGATTTTTGGTGACGTCACGTGCAACCCAAGAATATGTATTCTTGTATTGTATTATATTTTGGCTGACTAAAAATGAACTGAACTGAAAGCCTTGCTAAAGTTTGAAATCTCGGCAACGCGAAACTGCAAACGCGTAACTGCGGTTTGCGGTTTGCCTGATGCTAAAGGTCTCTAGTTAAGATCTTCAGTTTGGCATATTAATAAATCAGGAACACGTGACCAATTAGCCCCAGCCCCCAGAACCACCACAATAGAGTTCAAAAGTGATGACGTCATAAAAATTAAATTTGTGAAATTGTGGGATTTGTCAGGATATTCTAAAAGGACAACATCCAAGAATCCTACTTGCCAAATGTTTAGACCCAAGTCAACTTTAGAAAGATTTGTATGGAGTCTTCAATGCATTACTGGGGTAATATCTCAGAGACAACTTGCCCCACAATGCTTTTCGCAAGTAATCCTCTTGGATGTTGTCCTTTCAGAAAATCCTGACAAATCCTATTATTTCCCAAATTTAATTTTTATCACGTCATCACTTTAGAACTTTATGTTGCTCCTTATAATGGCCTACCCATTGAAGCTGCACTCCGAAAGAAGTACCTCTTTTCAGTCTAGATAAGTGATGCAATGTCCTTGAGAAAATATATTTCATTTGATAATTCGTTAAATATTATTTACGGAAGCCTTATTTGCTATAAGCCGCGTGTTTTCCCTAGGGTTTCCGGCCTCGCCATTGGGCGGCCATTAGAAATTTTTCGTTGAGTATCTCTTTCTACCTCTTCTCGGGAGTTTTCCCACCTATGGCAACTTCATGCAATTGGCGGATGAAATAATCACTTCACTCCCGCTTCATATTTTATAGGCCTGTTAACATTTAATATGCAACAAGCAAAATATTTTGAGTGGCAATTATGTTGCAGAGAAAGGCATGCAAAATAATTTAAGAAGAACATTTAATCTCCTATAATCTTGATGAACAAAACGAATATAGCTACCTCCTTGATTTGGTCTAACGTCTTTGTCGTAGTTAGAGAACAGAATTTCTCGAGTTGTATTCCTCCTTGGATTTTCTGATGAGCTATCGAGAGAAAAATGTATACGTATTCATTTCATAGATATAGATAGTGTGTCATCTTTGTACAACCTAATAGTCCGAACAGTACAAAATAACCTTGATTCATGGTCGAGGTCACGTGGTATGTGTAAACGACTTTTGAAAAAAATGTGTTTCTAGCTGTTGGAGGCCCTAAGGAAGCTTACATACCAGTTATTTCATGCCGGGCTCACATGTCAATGGCGTGTTAATGACATAAAAGCCTCTTCTGAGAAAATCGGAGCATGATCCAAGATGGCGGCCAAGGTGGCAGCCATGATAAATGACCTCATAGGTCTTTTAGGTGCGGTTATCACTCTTGTCTAGCGCGTGCAACAGAATATCCTTAATTATTATTTTCAGCCTAGATGCAAGCAGTAAACTACTTGGTGCAAACGCCTGAAGGTAGACAGATAGATTAATTTTCGAAGAAAATAGTTTTATTTCCTAACACTTTCTTACTTTATGATTGATTTAAATAGAAAAATATACCCAAACGGAAATACAAAATTGACCAGACGTTCAATTTTTTGCGTTTGAACGGCACTTTTCGCCTCGGTGTTATCAAACGTTGATAAGACGTCATGTAGAGCTCTTTACGGGCATATATTAACAAAGCAAATTACCTCAGTGGGGTTCTAAATAACCCAAGATAACAGCCATTTAATTTGCGTCACAGGTCCACAGAAACGTTACGTCCCACAGCGATTTTACTTCCTTCTACATTTAATATCCGGCAGCAATCTACTGCGACCTTCTTAAATCTTATAAAAAGCAAATACCAACCAGTTAGACTACAACCACTCACGCACCCTCTTCAACTTACACTTTAATAGAAGAAGATAAAGGTTTGAATTCGCTAGTGTGTCTGATAGTTGATCTTTTTTCCCATAAAAATGCACACTTTTTAAAACCGATTGCCTCTCGACAACTTCTTTGAGAAATAAAGCATACACGGTTAATTTGCCTATTAATGACAGAACAGAATACAAAGCGACTGACCGACATGTTTTTCTTCTTTCTGTCTCACTTTTCATTTATTTATTGTTAGAATTATTATTATTACTATTATTTTGTCTTTTATTTTTTTAAGTTAAGGTGACTCGACCCAGTTTTTTTTTTTTTTTTTTTTTTTTTTTTGGGGGGGGGGTGGGTACCATCCTACTTTGAAGCTCTCTGGTATCCCCACTTTTACTTTTATCGTAAGTCTAACACATAGAATGGATAACATATAGATCAATCTACAATATAATTTCAATATCAATTTTTGGCGATCGGAGTAAATGTCACGTGGTTATAATGCCACGCCCCTTTGAGGTCTGAGACGAAAATCTGCTGTTGCCGGCATTTTTTCGTGAAAATCTCTCGGCTACACATAGTGCGCATTAGTGCCTTGCGCTGAACAGAGTTTCACCAAAATCGCAAAGACCCAATTCGAGAAATTCAGCGTTTTCCAAATTTAGGTCATAATTTATGCGAAAATGATAAGCAAACTTTAAACGATTATATCTAATAGACTATGAGACTTATCCCTTTATTTTGCGGATCGTTATAACAGATGGGTCCTTGCAAGTCAGCAAAAAGCTTTATGGCCTTGTCAATGCGCGCGATTTCGAGCAAAGCAAACATATAGAAATTATAGTTTTAGCTATTTGTTGACGTTTGTCAGCGTTTAAGAGTCCTTCTCACGAAAAAGCATTTTCTAAAAAATTTGTAGTTTTTTTTCCTTCAAATTTTTTCAGGGCCACAATTGATTAACTAACTACCCGGACTCTGAATTTCATGGTCATTGAAAAACTGTGACATTATCCTCTATAAGCCCAAACGTGAGTAAACATTGAAGATTTTTTAGCGTTTCGGCTGAGTTTGTGCTTTGGGAGTTGTCTATTGTTTCTAGTTTGTCATTATACAGCATTCTTGTTCAGCACGCGTGCAATGACCACGCTTGGCTGACTTCCGAATGCCCCACCCCCCACCCCCAAAAGAAAAAACTGGGTCGAGTCACCTTAAGTATTGGACTCTGGGCAATGGTTGTATAATACGTAGTAACGATTGTCAGTCTTCGAATGTGGGTGACATGGGTTTGCCCTTATAGCCCACGACATGTCATCGTTTGTATCAGTCATTCTTAGCTAGCAGAACCACCTTTGTATTTTGATATCCCCACCCACCCCCCCGCGAGCCGCATCAGGCGGGGGTAGGCCCTCGGTTTCGCCCCCCCCTGCTGCGGCTTGGCTTTTTTCCGGCAAACAATAAAGTCATTTTTGCTTATAGTTCCTGTTGTCCTTTGAATTAGTGTAAGATCTGTCACGGAGGATTATCAAGCAAAATTTTAGGCTTGTTTTCACTCATCCATGCGGTTGCTATGACAACGATCGAAATGCCACGTTTAACCTAATGCTTGTAATGTTTTATAAATATATTTTGTGTCCCTGGGGGTGCGTTTAATGCCTGCAGCAAGTCTTACATAACACCCCAATGAATAGTAACGATCCAAAACCTGGCCTTAACTGTGTTCAGCCACTTTAAATGGTTGAAATAATACACGAACTAGTCATGGTAACCTATTTCCGCAAAATGTTAACTTAACCTGTTGGTTCATTTGCTCTATATCATGTCGTCTGGGGATGACACACGATCAAGAATTCAAGTACTTTTTAAAAAACGAGCAGGAGTTCATTATCAGGCTTAAAAACTCGCGGCGAAGTTTGTTGGGGAGAAAGAATGTTAAGAGAAAACAAGGAAATCAAATAAGAATTGTTGTCCTCGACCCTGGACATAAAAGCCTTAAGGCAGGTGTTAATAATAACTTACCAACAAGAAAGACAAACAATAAGTGCTGTTACAACCACAAAAGGCCGCTTGAGTAAATTCTCGCAGTACTTTGAAGGCAGCATCACGAACACCTGCTTACTATAGACTGTATGCGAAGACAAAAGGACTCTTCAATGGCTTGTGAAGTCTACCTCCGCTGGTGTACAAACAGGATCTTTTTAAAAATCATATCAATATGTGCCATCTGTTTTTAAGAAATTTGACATTATTAAAAAAGAAATCATTATTCAGCAACACAGTGTGAATTCATTAGCTCTTCCTAAGCCTACCAATGACTTTAAAAATGTATAATGCGTTTATACAAACTTGATTGGCATTTGCCTTTTCTTATGCTTATCAATACTAGCGATCCTAGCAATATTTGTTCTTTAATGTGCAGCTGGTCATCTCTCCCCTCCTCCTCCCCCCTTCCAGAGGTAAAATCGTTTAGTAATGTACATCAAGTAAAGTAATAAGGCTAACACGGTGAAATTCGGTTCCATATTTAAACCTGTCAGTATTGGCGGTCATCATTTTTGATCGAACCACCGTTGACTGATTTGTTTTTGCCACTTCAAAGGTTACATATACTGACAAATATGGAAAAAAGATATTGACGGGGAACCGTGAACTGGAAGCCTGGGGCTTATGTGGGGTCCATTGGTTTAAGTAGACATAACATTAGGGAAAAGAAAACGCGATTTTACAAAATAAACTACAGTATAAACTAGGATACAGAAAAAAAAGGAGAAGAATTAATTACCGACAAAAATTACTTACAAAAATAGGATGACATATTTTAAATAGAATATTTAAATAATCACCGACACCGGAAATCGTGACCTAGGTACGTAGGTGCGTAGAGTGATATTAGATGGTTGATGCTATCGCCCGAGTCGCGCGGCAATAATAAACTCCTTCAGTTATCAACGTTAATGTTCTGCAGCTTAAAAATTATATCACTGCAGAAATTTCAAACACCCTGAAACACAAAAGGAACGCAAAACCAACACTTCTCGGCGCAGTTGATGGCGGCAGTGGGATAATAGGAAGTCATGTGGCGAAACTTATTTTGTACACATCTTTATCCGTAGTGTGCATTTCAAACAGAAATCAGAAGAGTCTGCAGTAAAAAACTATCTTTCACAACGTCTTCAGCGATTATTTCCTATTTTGCAAGAAAAGGGGAACTTTTATTCACGAACAGCGATCAGATCGAAGCAGACGATTATGCTAACTTTCAATAAAATAATATGTTTCGTTTTTCATCGCCTCCATCTCATGAAGATGGGTCGGTCCGCCTAGCCAAAAACTGGGAAAAGTTGGAAGGGTTAGGTTAGGGCCTAGCCTTTATCGCTAATTTAGCCGCATATCCTTTATTTGTTATTTTGTTCCACAGGCGGCCAAGCTCATTTTGACTGTAATATATCAGTTAAATCAGTTTTTTTTACGACATTTTTTACTATATGGTGGCTCGTCAACAGAGCAGAAGACGTTCTTAGGCAGTCACTCATATTGAGAAACCTGTTATCAAGTCACGTGTTCTGTCCCCCCCCCCCTCCCCACCCAACAAGTAGAACTAATATGGATGGAGATGTTCACGCGCCATTTGTTTTTTAAATTATTCTTATTTGTTTTCCATTTGTTTTCCATTTTTTTAAAAAAATAACTAATAAAAAAATTGTTACCCTCGACCCTCGACCATCGACATAAAGACAGACTCCGGCTTAAAACCTATTTTCTCGTTACCCGCCAAGTTTAAAATTACATGACGCCACTCTAACCGACCAATAAGGTGGCGTCCTTAAAATAAGGGACTGTGCAATAATTATCAGGAGGGGGGGGCTGAAAAACTAGAGTTATATAGCAAAAACTTAGACAGTACCCCTCCTCCAAAACAAAAAAAATTAGTTCTAGCCCCCCCTCTGTTATGTTAAAAATAACGTCGCCCCCCTCCCAGCTAAACTAAAAACTGGACTGAGCTGCCATCACAGCTTCAATAATGACAAACGTTATTATGTAACATCTAGTATCGAGAAGGATGTTGATCGCTTGATTGAAGATTTAGACAAAGCATTTGCTAAGTACCGGGGTGCTTACCACATTGGCTCAAAATCTAAAATTTCTGAAGCCAGAAAGAGAAAGGAGCAGAGAAAAAAAATCAAAGAACAGG